CCGACAACATCTGATCCCTGTGTTTACGCCGATACGCCGTTGCGCCGATCGCCATGTTTACTTTATACCGGTGCCGATCGTTGTTTTTATGCCAATACGCCGTTACCCTGGTTCGCCCGTCGTTGCACGCTACGTTTTCACGTTGTTTCGCCGTTGCGCCGATCGGGTCTACTTGCGTTGTTATACGCAGATACGCCGATCGCTGTGCTTACGCCGATACACCGATACGTCGATCGCTATGAATACGCCGATACGTCGTTACGCGGATCGTTTCTTTTGCGCCGATACGCCCCTACGCCGATCGCTGTGTTTGCGCCGTTACGCTGTTTCGCCGATCGCTGTCTTTACGCCGCTGTCTCAGTGTATCTGTGCGAACGGTATCCGTGTATCGGTGATTCGGTGCGAGCACAGCAATCAGTGTATCGATGAATGAGCGTGTGCGCGCGCGCCGGGTGTATCTGTGTATCGGTGTACTGGTGCGCGCGCGGTGTATCGGTGTATCGGTGCAAAAAACGTTTAGCGAACCCCAATCCCCAACGTTGTAAATTGTTCATTTCGAAGTTTTGTTGCGCACAACACGTCCACCACGTGGCTCTGAGAGCTCTGCTTCAAACCCTGTGTCGGTCAAGACGGGTTTCAGTCTGAGCCGCAGTTTTCTAGCTGCATCACGGCTCCAAGAATAAGAATGGGAACACGTGCAAACAACATTGAATCCGCTCTATCTATCTGTCTATCCAAACCTTATTTTGTCTAATCCGACAATCCAGTCCAATCCAAATCAATCTAATCAAAAATGATCTAATGCCAATCCGTCCATCCATCCATACACCCACTCATCTATCTATCTATCTGTCTGTCTGTCTGTCTGTCTGTCCGTCAGTCCGTCCGTCCATCCATCCATCCATCCATCCATCCATCTATCTCTGTGTTGCACGTGTGTGGGGCAAAGTCAGCATACTGTCACCTTTCCTGCCGTCGTGCGAGGTACTGCTCGAGCTGTTCAAGAATAAGTGCGGTATTTCCTGATACGTCTCTCCTGACCTGTCCCGGTCACAGCCCTTTCAAGCTCTGACCCCAGACCGAAAGAAGAAAAGAAGAGTTGCCAGCAAGAACTACGAAGGCTTCGTGTGAAGGGAATTGTCTTTTTTGACAGGTTTGGGCACACTCTTAGTGTTTAGGGCAAGCGCGGGTTTCTATCAGCAATCAGCAGCGCTTACAAGTTGGAGATGTTGAGGCACCACAAATCGAAAGTTGCCGTGGGAAATTCCCAGGGATTTATCAACCTGTTCCTACAAATTATTGGGTGAAGAATTGTTTTAGGATTTGTTTGATAAGGTTTGGGATCTTTTTGGGATTTCTTTCCTGGTACCATTTTCCTTGTATTTGCAACAGTTTGGAACTAGAAACTGTCATTTTGCATGGTATTTGCTACATTTGGCATGGTCACCATGTTCACCTTCCATTTTGCACGGATGCTATATTTTTGGCACTTCAACCTCTCATTTTACATGGTATTTGATTTGCTACATGTTGATACTTCAAACGTTCATGTGGGTTTCTTTAGGGTTTTGTAGGGTTTCATTGAAGGTTTCTTTAGGGTTTCATTTTGGGATTCTTTAGGGTTTCATTTCAGGTTTCTTTAGGGTTTCATTTAGGATTTCTGTCGGGTTTCATTTAGGGTTTCTTTAGCGTGTCGTTTTGGGGTCATTTACGGTTTTTTAGGGTTTCATTTGGGGTTTCTTGAAGCTGTCTTTTAGGTGTCCATTTAGGGTTTCCTTTTGGGTTTCGTTTGGGGTTTCTTTAGTGTCATTTAGGGTATCTTTAGGGTGTCATGTAGGGATTCTTTCAGGTTTTGTTTAGGGTATGATTGCGGCTTTATTTAAGGTTTCATTTAGGGTGTTTGTTGGGATATCTTTAGGGTGTTGTTGGGTTTCATCTCGAGGGCTTCATTTAAGATACAAACACGAGAGAATAAAGCAAGAGAAAAGCAAAAAAGCGAAGAAGCAGAAAAGCAGAGAAGCAGGAAGCGCAAAAAAGCGGAGAAGCAGAAAAGCAGAGAAGCAGGAAAAGCAAAAAATGAAAAAAACACAGGAAAAAAAGGAAGAGCAGGAAAGAACAAAAGCGGAGAAGCAGAAAAGCTGAGAAGCAGGCAAAGCAAAAAAGCGGAAAAGCAGAGAAGCAGAAAAGCGGAAAAGCAGGAAAAGCAAAAAAAACGAAAAAGCGGTAGAAAAGCAGAGAAGCAGAAGAAAAGCAGAAGAAAAACAGAAAAAAAGCAGAAGAAAAGAAGAAAAAAAGGAGAGAAGCAGGAACAGCAGAAAAGCAGGAAATTGATAGAAACTTGTGAAAATACACTGAATAAATAGCCTTTCCAATTGGTTCCAACAAGGTTCATCAAGGTCCTACAAGTAGTGGCTTGTCCTGCATACAGCAAGAGTTCTCCTTTCCAGGTTCTACAATCCCTCTGGCCATCTCTGGCCTTTTGACAGCCTTTTTCCTAAGGCAAATCAATGCATTTACTCCATGTGTTTGGGTGAAACTGTCATGCACTCTGTGTCTGACCTGTTCGCTCCGCAGGACATTCTCTGAGCGAAGTCGTTGAGACAGTACAGCTAGGGATGTCTTCTTGTTGAATATGCAATCAGCGGTTCGCATGGCATCTTTGGAAGACATCCCTGCAATCATCAAATCTCTACTGAGGTGAAACTCTGTGGCACAGGAACTCGGTCAACAGCTGTGCCATTGGCGAAAACCCAATGGAAAAAACACTCACATTTGATGTTGGCGAATCTATGATTCCCCAATTTCTGCCACCGATAGGGTTCTTTTGCTTGGACAAAATGACTTGCCAATCAACTGACTTTCAGAATTAGATGAAGGGAAAAATAACAGGAAGCTTTTGCTTTCCCTCTTTTTGTTCATGCCAAGCTTTCCTGTACATTTTCCCGAAATGCTGGGATTCCAATGGTACAGCTGGGATCGCTAGACAGCCACGGCCTTAGACGCTGGACCGATTCTTGGCCTCGGCAACGCTCGGTCTGGGGTCTGGGGTGTATCCTCCAAATGGCCATGTTCTGAACGGGAATACTGATAACAATGAATAATCCATTGGAATTGTGGGGTTGCCATATTTTCAAACAAACCCATTTACACCATGTCAATATGTGATTGGATGGTTGATATGATTTTTTGACATAGCACTATGTCAACATCTTACTCTTCAAAGTTTGAATCCATGTGAGAAAAGCCCTGCCCCCCTTGACAAGGACTTCCAAAGACGCCCAAAGATGTCTACCGCTATTGGCTCTATATATAAGTTAAACCAGCTTTCTTTGGCAAAGTGCCTTCATTAGTCCTGCGGATAGCTTTTGTTTCTACAACATTCCCAGAAAAAGTCGGCTCCATAATAATCACCAAATGAAATTGGTGTCGAGAACAATTTCTTCCCGCATCCTACCCTGGTGTTGTGCGGTTGCAGCCAGAATGGAATGATATCTTTGGGGGAGCTGCAATGAAAAAAAACAGGAGGAGGGTGTGAGAACGGATGAGATCGGACAATTGCTTTGGACAATGACATCCTGAGTCATGTTCCTTTGATGTGGCAGCACCGAATTGTCACATGACCCACTTCCCCACAGAAGTCTGAAGGCAGGTGGATGCTCTACATCTTGAACAGAGCTCGACTGAGATGATAGCTTCACGGTCCAACGCTTGTTTCAAACCTTGTCCGAGGCGGGCTTCAAAAGGGTGCGTCTGAAAATGGGTATACCCCAAATGCAATTTTAATGGGGAAGATGATGATAAACCGTCAACTTTGGGATACCCAATTTTTCCGACAAACCCACTTTTTTTAATTTCTGAAAACAAAATTGCAAGCTTGATCAGAGGACTTGGATAGCCTGAGGTCCCCCAACTCTGCTGGCTCTTTGGCAAAGGCAAGCTTCCCATGCTCTTCATCCTGTCTCGCACATGGAAACCCAAGACTGCCGGGCTGGAAATGGCGTTGGTGAACTTCCTGACATGGCAACGTCAGATGCTAAAGATCTCTCCCATCTGGTTCCGCAACCGGCCACCAACGGGTCCTTTGAGGTGCGTTCTCCATCTGATGCCAACCTCTCGGTGTCAACTTGGACGATCGGAAAAACATGAACCCTGTATACCCCATAAGACCGGTGAATGACCGGTGAATGATGGTATACTGGGCAGTTACCAGTATACCGTATACCCCAGTTAATGATCGGTTAATGTCATTTGACCCCTCAGATGGTAACATGGCTAGCCCTCGGTCAGCTCTTCCCATCGCAGCGAACCCAGCTGACAGGTTCACCTTAAAATGGGATGCTGTGCTACTAAAGAATATGACAGAATATATGACAGAATACGTCCAAAATGCTATGTGCATTATGTGCTCCATATCCAAATGGTATAACAAAACATACCGCCCATGACCAACTCGGGGTTTCACCTCCTGCGCTTCGATTTTTTGGTGCGGAAAGTTCAAAGGTCTCCGGAACTGACTGTTCAAATCTGTTCAACCTGTTCCTTTGGAACTATATAATGCCCGACCTGTGCTTTCCTCTGCCGGCGTCCATTTGATACTCGAACGAGACAAGAGTGTGTTGTTCACACAGCAAATTGGCTTTGTTGGATCACAAGATAAAAGTGCTTTGGCTTGCTAAGAGTAATGGAAGCATCGACTTGGGCAGAAGTCGGATAAAGATACACTAACTCACCAACTGTGCAGAAGCAATCTTCACAGCGCAAAGCTGCCCCCTCGGGCATTTGCGACTCGCAAAAAGCCACGACCTCTGTTACCACCTCCAGCGTCTGTCCTGTATGTACAGAAGCTCAGAAAGTGAAGCGTAGTAACATAACAAGAAGAACAAGAACGTTGCTCGACTCTTGTAGTTCAGCCAAGATGTCCTTTCAAATTTGCCAACCAAGAAGTACCTCTACACTTCCCCAACCCAAACTTCATTTCACAGTCCTCCAGGGATCAGATTTCATGCTGCGGACACGGAGACATGGGACAACATCAGGTCGCGAGAAGCATCACCAGACTCTCTGCAGTAAAACGCATAGAGCACCAACTGAGCAGCACCTCACCAACCAGGTACCAGGTACCCATACCAGGACCCTTGGTGGCTTTCCATGCCTAGAGTTCATCGCTCAGACCTCTCCTAGCAGAGGGAGGGTTAATTAATGTCTCCCAGATTGTCCACTACACGGCCAGAGCTTACAATGACAGTGGGCGGGTCTATGCAATTAGGATAAGAAAGGCTGAATTACCACATAATCTCCGTAAGATATGTTCAGAATCACGACATGGAATACAATGGAATGGTTCCAGCCGCATGGGACGCATTTCAAGGTCAGCAAATGCTATGATTTTTGAGAGTCACCGACTCGCATATAGCTGGGGCACCAAGAATGATGCCCAAAACATTTGGCACGCCCACCGTCACGTCCTGGATGAAGACTGCTTGAGCACCTGGCGCTATGGCGCTGTGGCGCTGTGGCGCTGTGGCGCTGTGGCGCTGCGCACGGTGGTGATCCAATGCCATTACAAGTCACAAGTCTGCTTGTTGAGTTTGTCTGAAAATTGGCTACCCAAAATCCGGTTCATGAAATTCTTCCCTATTAAATCCATGAGAAAAAGGTGCGGTATGGTGCGGTATAACTTACCAAACACAGACATCCCCCAAGGTGGGGCCAATTCTGCCAAGTCTCTCCAAAGGATGCAGATCACGAAGCCCAGAAGGGACATGGGCAAAGGCATATATCTCGGTGGCAGAAAAACTTTGTCAACCTACCTTGACCCCCAAAAAATACCCGAACTAAACATCAAGCATGGCCCATGACAAAACGTTGAGGTTCACGGTTGATCTCCGTTCTCTGGATACGGTCAGGCTTGGTCAAGTTGCACGGGAGTGTATGGTTATCTCACCATCATGGGATTCCACGGAATGATGGGTGCATAAAATATGTGAACGTATATTAACCCCTATTTTCATGGGATGTGCAACCTTCACTTATCTTCAAGACAGGTTCAGTCCTATTCATTTCCCCTGCTTTTCACTATTGCCAAAGCACTTCACGGATCTGGTCTGAATGACCGTCTTCATCATCACCAGTGGGGAGCCGTACAGAAGGACGTTGATGACCACACAAGTCAATCCGCTTACGCTACCTGAGCCGGCCAACGGTACAACATGGCCAGTTGCATCCAGATGAAGGGATGAGAAGAAAAAAGCAAGCAAAAGATGGTTAAAGTTGGGATGCATTGTGTGACGAGTCTCAATTTTGGAGTCATGTACCAGTGCTTCAAATCAGCGGGCCAAACAGCTCACCCTAAACCTGAACTCATATGTTCGTTCCTACGCAAAACATAGAAGCCTTGGACATTTCTGCCTGGTGAACCTGCCAAAAAGCGCAGAAAGCACCCCAATGATCTTGCCAATGCATGTGTTGGGCCAGATGCACCCTTCACCAACCTGTGAACAGCAAGTGGCCAACAGTTTTGACAACAAACGCCAAGACACTCTTCATGGATGGCGAAGTTCCCCAATGGAACCCCTTATGTAAGCTGGGCACCACGCCTGGTCAGGCATGAGCCATTCAAGTTTGCGGGAAAATCTGCATCTTGTTCAGTGAGTATCCAGCACGTTCAAGACATGGGTCAATGGCTATGGGTCAAAAATGGTCAAAAATGAATCAAACCTTTGCACCGTGGTGAACAGCAGCAGCTATGAAGGTTGATCCCCCAAAAGAAGGTACGGTAGATGAATGGGTCTTGATGCGGACCCATATCATCAATCACCTCATCCCCGCCTTCGCAAAATCCGATCAAGAGCGCCTCTACCAAAATGGCGGTCAACACCAGCCGCAAGATGGATGTCAAGCGACTCCTGGGTGCAGCAGCAGCACCAGAACTGTAACACTGTTTGAAATTATTCGAAATGTTAGTTTTTTTTTTAAATCAGGTTTAAACATGAACCTTTCAAAGCAAGTGGCAAATCAAAAGATTCGTCTCTGTTTCACCACGAGTTCTTCTCTCGCATCGATCTACACTGCATCCGTGTTCAGCCAAAGTACCCTGCGTAGACGAGGAAGATGGACACGTAACACAGGAACATGAGCGCGCCCACACCGTTCACCTTGGCCAATCTATATATATATATACCCAAAGATTATCCAAGTTGACAGATCACACCCCAGAGTCTTTTTCCACGTGTGCCAAGCCATGCCCTTCCCAGACTGCGTCAGGTCACCACCATATTGGGCGTCAAATCTTTGGAGCTGGCCTCCATCGTCACCACGCACTTAGTCCAGGCGAAGGATGGGAAAAATGTGGATGTTTTTTTTTTTTACCAGGAAACTTCGGAAACCCCTATGTTTTGAAGGTAAAAACACGTAAAAACCCATGGTTTCCTGTACATTTTCCTTACACCAACCCGTTGATAGTGGATACAGTAATTGTGTTGACCATCAAGATGACAGTTCCTTGAAGTATGTTCAAGTCTTCCAGGTATCAACCATGTTCCTCAAACAAGGCAATTGAACCCCCCCGAAATGGAGGTTTTAATCGCAAAATCATCTATAGATCAGGGTGTTTAAGCCCTTTGATGAATGTACATCGAAACGAATCAGGTTTCAATGGTTGGGCTGTCCATCCGATGGGTCAACAGCACCGAGCTTCGTAGTAGACCCAACAAGAGCAGTTGAAGACACCCATCGCATACCTGACATAGAGTTCCATGGTGAAGCAAAAACTTTGCAAACTTGTGGTTCTAGACAAAGTAAGCAGGGTATACAACATGGTCTTGCTAGCCCTTGATTCACAAAGCTTTGTCCGTAAATTATGGGAACATCACATGCCATGTCATAGTTTGTCATCATGTTCCTGCGAAAATGATCACTTTGGGATATCCCTTACACCAACGCTACACCAACGCTACACCAACGCTACACCAACGCTAGCAAGCTGCGGAAAGGCTGAGAATTCCTGGACGCTCTTGGACTTCACAACGTTCATGCAGGTGGGCACTGGGCTCAGAAAGTACCTCGGGACCCGACGGGAAACTGTGGAACTGGGAACGCTGCCAGTGGCGCGTTGAAATCCTGCGGGTGTCAATAGATGGCTTAAGAGGAAAATTTGTTGTGTCATCAACAGCGGTTTCCTTTAAGGTTTCTATGAACCAATGCATTTAGGTTGTTGCCTTTTCCAAAATCATTCGCCACTTGAAATAGCCTGATCGTCGCAAGTAAAAATGGGAAAGTGTTGTATACTGTATATTGGAAACAATCAATTACCACAAGACGGTCTGTTTTTTGCCGTTTTCGACAAGAGCCAGGGTCAAAATCCCCATAGGTGATGATTGTCTATTCATATCTAAACTTATCGAAACCTATCATATTCAATAAATTCTATTCATACCTATTCATAGCTATTCACTTTGCTTAACTTTGGCACTTGTTCAACCACCTGCTGAGACCCAAGTGACACCAGGGTAAAGACTGTCCTTGGGGCAGGCGAGCAGAAAAATCCTCCAGAAATTGATGTTTTTTTTCAAGATCCAGGATAAATATGGAGCCTCCGACCTGGTGAAGACACCTGTGGCTTTCAGTTGTGGCCGTTCCGTTTTCACCGTTCGGACTTGCGGCCAATCGTCCCTAGCCAGCCGAAGACTGAGCCAAGCTCTGGGTGCATCACCATGACTGAAAGCGAAGGCGGAGGTTTGGGCTGTCGGGTGCGAGGAGCCGGCACCAGTCCGAAGGTTCTGCAAAAAAAAAAGTGGGGATTGAAAACAATCTGAAGTTTTTCGTGTGATCCTGGCTGGAATTGGAGAAGTCTGTTTGGGGCTCATTGTTTTGGGTCACCTTGTTTGGGAAATACGGTTGGAAAACTTTGGAACCAGTGCCTTAGCTCACAACTTGTTTGAGCCCAGAAGTCCGGCAGGTACAGGTGAGCTTCTACTGCATGGAGCTCTCCGAGCTCTCCGCATACAGTCTTGTGAGAAGGCCGAGTCCAACCCTTTGCGCACGGCTGAAAGAAAACATGAAGAAGAGGAAAGAAAGCAACCTTGGTCAAGGTCCCTATTTCTGGATTCTGCTCTTCCCTTCTGCTCATTTCCTATTCCTGAGATGATTCGTGAACGCCATTTTCCCTCTCAGCCGTTGGAAGTGATATCTGCTGAGGCTCTCAAGTGTTGCTTCGCCTTGGAGCTCTGTGCCTTGGCTATGCCGGCGACCAAGGGACAAACTCTGACCATGAATGTGTTCTAGAAGGTACGGAGTATCAACTGTTCCTTCATGGGTACCTGTCAAAACGTTGGACCGTGCGAAACTGCGGAACGAATTAGATAGATCAGAATGGATCACAGTGGATCAAAATGGTCTTGTTGAGAATGTTCGGCTGTTGCCTTCCTTGCGAGGTATACTTGGTACCCATCCCCACCTGCCCGAGAAGAAGGGAAACCCACCAGCTCCTCGTTGTGGGCCATGTGCAACAGCACCCATTGCCGTGGATTCCGATCAGATGGTAGGCTAGGAATCCCAGGAAGTCAGCCCCCAAATACGCATTATATTTTTTTATGTTATATATATATAAACAAACATTACATAAATATAAATAAATAAATAAATACATACATACATACCATAACGTTACGTTACGTTGCGTTCCGTTCCGTTCCGTTCCGTTGCGTTGCGTTGCGTTCCGTTCCGTTCCGTTACGTTACGTTACGTTACGTTACATACATTACATCACATCACATCACATCACATCACATTACATAACAAAACATTACATTACATTACACAACGTAACATTGCATTACATACATTACATACATTACATACAGTACATACATTACATGCATTACATACATTACATACATTACATACATTACATACATTACATACATTACATATATTACATACATTACATACATTACATACATTACATACATTAGATACATTACATACATTACATACAATGCATACAATACATACAATACATACAATACAAACAATACAAACAATACAATACAATACAATACCAATTACAATTACAATTACAATTACAATTACAATCACAATTACAATTACAATACAATACAATACATACAATACAATACAATACAATACAATACAATACAATACAATACAATACATACAATACATACAATACATACAATACATACCATACATACCATACATACAATACATACAATACATACAATACATACAATACATACGATTCATCACATTACATTACATTACATTACAATACAAAACAATACAATACAATACATTCATACATTCATACATTCATACATTCATAAAGTTCACAAAGTTCATAAAGTTCATAGGGTTCATTGGGTTCATACGTTCATACCTTCATGCATTCATTAACATTCATTAACATTCATTAAATTTAATTGGCATTCAGTAACATACACTCTCACACACACATACATGAACATACACTGACATACATCAACATACATTAACATACATTAATAAACATTAACATACATTAAGATGCATTAACATACATTAACATACATTGACATACATTAACATACATTAACAGACATTACGTTACATCACATTACATCACATTACATTACATTGCATTACGTTACATACACACAGAACATAACATAACATTACATTACATGACATAACATAACATTACATTACATAACATTACATAACATAACATAACATGACATTACATACATACCTACCTACCTACATACATACATACATACATATATATATATATTACTATGTATGGATATACTATATATATATACTATATATATATACACTATATATATATTAATTTATATATATATATATAATCACTACATATATAAATATATACGTGTATATATATATATATACTGTGCATGTGTGTATGTATATATATATATATATGTATATATATATATATATATATCTGTGTGTGTACTGTATACATAAGTGGAAAAGAGTCTGGAAAGGACCATGAAACCACCCAACTTGACTCACATCCCAAAAATCACAGTTGGGCCTTCCTACACCTCCAAGTACGTCCCCGTTCTCCGTTCTGGCCCGGTACCCATTGGAGCATCTGCCGCGCCAGGCTGGCTGCTTGCTGGGCTGTAGCCATATCTCCACACCAGGACTCGGTGGTTGAACCTGGCATCCCATCCAGCATCCCAGCACCACACAGGGTGTGGATGTGCATCCACTGAACCTCAGGAACTCAGCAAGTTTGTAAAAGGGTGTCAACGTGTAGTGAGATTTCCAGGTTTCCAACGTTTCAAGGAGAAAAAAAGTATGGTTGGATTGCAGTAATCATTCATGAAAGTCGGCTCTGCATGCAAGTGAAAACCAAATTTATCATGGTGTCATACCCTAAAATGACCAGCCCTAAGATGACCAGAAACTGTAGAGGAAAAAAGACCCAAAAAAACAGCGACTTAGCCAGGCAGCCGTCTGTCGCCATGGTGCATGGATGCACTGTCTTACAGGGCCCACGGACCAATTCTGAAACTCTTCGAAACTCTTGATCAGTGCCTCCTGGGTGGATGAAGGTAGCACGAAAAATCGGAAGTGAAGATAACAAAGGACATGTCTGACTTGAAAAAAAAACATTAGACTGGCAAACGGATCATTGGATAATATGATGTATATTGATGTATATTGTATGTGTCCATATGGATGGTTCTTAACATTGAGGGGATACCCAAAATCATTTGTTTCTTGGTATGATCTTGAGATCCCCCCATTCGAAGAAACCTTCATGTGTATATTCATGTATTTAATCATAATCATATCAGAGTGGAAACAAGGCAAGGACCATTGGATACATACCATACTACCACACCATACAATATCTTACCGAATGAAACCAGCGGCAGGTTCCCCTTTGCTTCTAGGAACCCGTATGCGCCTTGACCTTGGCATTTGGCTGTCGGAATTAATTCTTGATTGGATTATGTTTGGGTTGATGGTTGATGGACCCAAATTCTCCAGGCGATCCCCAGTCGCAGCCGTTCCATGCAATGCGCCCCATTGCAAGCACCACAGTTCTCCTCAACGATGGTATAGGCGGCTTCAGCAGAACAGGCTTGCCAGAGATGATCGATGCTCCCTGAGCCGATCAAACTATGCTCATGGGTGTTGTTTTGGAAGGCCTCACGACTTGGTGTCAAGCGAACAGTTGTATTGAATCTGGAAAGGGTTCGGAAGATTCAACTAGACGGTTGTGCTGACATTTTTGAAGGGGACTGGGTTGAAACAAGCAATGTTGAGTTGTGAGATCATTGCGTATTGAAGACCATCCACGTACAACAATCAACAGATTCTTGCGTCAAAGGGATGGATTCATGTGTAAAACATCTCCAAATGCTGCTTTGACACGAAAGTACTCCCGAGGTATGGTCAGCAAAGCCTCAGCTGGCCATCACTAGCCCTTTCAAGGGAGGCGTTCAATCGGGAAGCGAGGCGCAGAGTTGATATTGCTCAGATCAGAAATGCTGCAGGTGCCGCCGTTGCTAGAAACAAAACGTTGGGAGAAAGAGCTGTGTAGATCAGCGGGAGTCTGGGATTCACTCTCACCCAACTGGAGCTGGGCCAAGAAAACTGATCAAAATAAGCGCTAACCCACTGCACCCCTGTGGAACACGGGAAAAAAACATGTCACTGTGTTGTTGCTACGCCGTCAAAAATGTCGGCAGAGGGGCTCTGGACGTCTGGTTGCCGCAAGAGGTGGCGTCATTCACATTTTTGAAAGTCGCCGTCCACCTGCGAACGGTGCGATGCCCCTACGCAGCTGCTTGACAATGGTTTCGGTATATGCGTTGCGTACAACCTTCAGTTCGAAACATCTCGTTTGACCCTATCCATCCCATGCTTGGAAACCGTACAAACATGGGAGTGGCCTGTGTCGGACAACAACATCTGATGCGCAGCCCTGGAAACATTTGCACGGAGATTCGCATTGTCCAGACATGAAACCTTAGTTGCCGCTGCTTGCAGGACTTGACCGTGGGTTTGCAAAGAGTGAAAACACTTCATCAGCGTTTCACTTCACATGCTATGAGCAAAAGGTATGAAAATGTATGAGTTATACGCAAGAGACAATAATTACGGATTTGGCACGCCATGTTTTCTCCCACCAGCCCAGGCGCAAAAACATTGCACGGCTTCTTGGGTTGTGTTGTGCGGAAATGCTGTTCCACAGATCCTGCAAAGAAACTGCTGAAAAAAGGTGGAAACAACACCCCATCTTTCAACCCAAATCAACAGGACAAACATGTCCCCAAAGGCAGCGAAACCAACTGCACTCGCACAACACTGTGCCACAAGGACGCCTTCACGGCCGCCCATTTTCTTATTCAAGTTCCCCAAAACAAAGAACGGCCTTGCCACCAAGAAAAACTTAGCCTGCGTGGTGGCGTCCAGCCAGGATCCCTGCCTTGGTTGCGTCGCTTTATGTTTTGAATCGAAGCGTGCAAGTTAACAGCACCGCCATGCCACGCTGACCGCTTAGGAGCGCTTCGCTTATCGCAAATTCCGCGGCGCGCCCGCCAAGGTGAAAAAGTAGTGGTTCTTGTACAAGCTTGTTGGTTGGGCGCGCTCGTGCGCCAACGAAGCACAAGCGTCGAAGAATCCATCAGAATCCATCAGCGCGCATGCGCTGTCACTGGAAAGGGGCTGCAAACGACTGTCCCCTGCGATTGGCTTACCCAAAAATGAGTTTGAATCTATGTTGAAGTGGTAGGGTGCTCCCAAATAGCGGTACTGATCGACTAGACACTCATTGCTTGGGTTCGCAGTCTCCAACTGTCCCTCGTCCCTGTACACCACCACCACCAACAACTTCTTGGGTGTTCTTAGGAAAAAAAATGTTGTGGGCAAGAGGAGACATGGCAACCATGGCTGAGCAATGCAGTATCAGTCATATCTTCCCATGCATTCCCACATTGTTTTTTCCTTGTTAACCTGTTGGCCTCCAAAAAAATGAGGACAGAGCCCATGTGATCGCAATACTTTGGGGCACATCAGCTGCGTTCCAACCACCAACTGGCCGTCGCTCCTCTCAGGTCGCAGCATTCCTCATAGCGCAGGGACTGGGTCCTTCTCTGTATTAATCTTCCAAACTGACTTTCACGTTTGAATCTGGCTGGGTTATATATATATATATTATATCTAACATATGTACAGAACATCCACAATATCCGTCACTCTTGGTTGCAGCAGTGCGGCAGTCTCTTTCTTAGTCTAACATGTGGATGTGGATCAAATATATGTGTGTAATACATATATACACCAATATTATTGGATATCCAACCTTTGCGTTACTTGAGCTATAGCAACTGTGAGCTTGAGGCTGCAGCTGAGCATCCACCATTGAGATCGGACTCTCGCTTTGCATGCACCAAACACAACGAAGAAACGAACAACGCAATAGTTGGAATGCTCGACATTGCGGCGCAGAGGATGCAACCAACAGTTGGAGGACAAGGGTCTTGAACCTGAGTGTTGTTGGTGACTAACCATGGTTATGAAGTTGAAATTCCCAACTTATGGGGGTTAGAATCTGGATGGTTATATCATCCATTAATGACCCCAACTGCACCCCCAAGTAGTCGTACCCAGTAGGTTAATCTATGACTCCTGGTTTCACTGTCACAAGGTCTTCCACGGTTTCGCGGAGACACGAAGGGTGAAGTGAGCAAACCACTGGTAACTCCGGCGGGCCAAGGATGACTCAAACGGCAGAAAGGGCTGAAGAATTGAAAAACTACCCCAGTTCCCCAAAGTGGCCCACTCTTCGCCAACAGGCATTCCTTTAAAACAGAAATGAAAAACTTGTTGAATGTCAAAGAAAAAACATCCTTGGCCTGGCCTGGTTTGCCTTGAGCCAACATCAACGTGGGATGTCGAGGGCCACCAGGTCATCACGACTCGACTCAACCCCCGGCACCTTGCACTTCTGATGCCTCCGGGACGGCTCCTTCTGCGGGAGCGCCATCGCAGGACACAGTTTTCCACTATGTACGTACGTACGCATGTAATGTAATGTAATGTAATGGAATGGAATGGAATGGAATGTAATGTAATGTAATGGAATGGAATGTAATGTAATGTAATGTAATGGAATGGAATGGAATGGAATGTAATGTAATGTAATGGAATGGAATGGAATGTAATGTAATGGAATGGAATGGAATGTAATGTAATGGAATGGAATGTAATGTAATGTAATGGAATGGAATGTAATGTAATGTAATGTAATGTAATGGAATGGAATGGAATGGAATGGAATGGAATGTAATGGAATGGAATGGAATGTAATGTAATGTAATGGAATGGAATGGAATGGAATGGAATGTAATGTAATGGAATGTAATGTAATGTAATGGAATGGAATGGAATGGAATGTAATGTAATGGAATGGAATGTAATGTAATATAATGGAATGGAATGTACTGGAATGTAATGGAATGGAATGGAATGTAATGTAATGTAATGGAATGGAATGGAATGTAATGTAATGGAATGTAATGTAATGTAATGTAATGGAATGGAATGGAATTTAATGTAATGGAATGGAATGGAATGTAATGTAATGGAATGTAATGTAATGTAATGTATTGGAATGGAATGGAATGTAATGGAATGGAATGGAATGGAATGGAATGTAATGTAATGGAATGGAATGTAATGTAATGTAATGGAATGGAATGGAATGGAATGTAATGTAATGGAATGGAATGTAATGTAATGGAATGGAATGGAATGTAATGTAATGTTATGTAATGGGATGGAATGGAATGTAATGTAATGGAATGGAATGGAATGTAATGGAATGGAATGTAATGGAATGGAATGCAATGTAATGTAATGTAATGGAATGGAATGTAATGTAATGGAATGGAATGGAATGGAATGTAATGGAATGGAATGTAATGTAATGTAATGGAATGGAATGGAATGGAATGTAATGGAATGTAATGTAATGTAATGGAATGGAATGGAATGGAATGTAATGTAATGGAATGGAATGTAATGTAATATAATGGAATGGAATGTATGGAATGTAATGGAATGGAATGGAATGTAATGTAATGTAATGGAATGGAATGTAATGCAATGCAATGTATAATGTAATGTAATGGAATGGAATGCAATGCAATGTAATGTAATGGAATGGAATGGCAATGCAATGCAATGCAATATAATGTAATGGAATGGAATGGAATGCAATGCAATGCAATATAATGTAATGCAATGGAATGGAATGCAATGCAATGCAATATAATGTAATGGAATGGAATGCAATGCAATGCAATGCAATAATATGTAATGGAATGGAATGGAATGGAATGGAATGGAATGGAATGGAATGCAATGCAATATAATGTAATGGAATGGAATGCAATGCAATGCAATACAATGTAATGGAATGGAATGGAATGCAATGCAATGCAATGGAATGTAATGGAATGGAATGCAATGCAATGCAATGCAATATAATGTAATGGAATGGAATGGAATGCAATGCAATGCAATATATTGTAATGGAATGGAATGCAATGCAATGCAATATAATGTAATGGAATGGAATGCAATGCAATGCAATGCAATATAATGCAATGGAAGGGAATGGAATGCAATGCAATGCAATGCAATACAATGTAATGGAATGGAATGGAATGCAATGCAATGGAATGTAATGGGATGGAATGGAATGGAATGCAATGCAATGCAATAGAATGTAATGGAATGGAATGGAATGCAATGCAATGCAATGCAATATAATGTAATGGAATGGAATGCAATGCAATGCAATGCAATATAATGTAATGGAATGGAATGCAATGCAATGCAATATAATGTAATGGAATGGAATGGAATGCAATGCAATGCATTATAATGTAATGGAATGGAATGGAATGGAATGCAATGCAATGCAATGCAATCTAATGTAATGGAATGGAATGGAATGCAATGCAATGCAATGCAATATAATGTAATGGAATGGAATGGAATGCAATGCAATGCAATGCAATATAATGTAATGGAATGGAATGGAATGCAATGCAATGCAATGCAATGTAATGTAATGGAATGGAATGCAATGCAATGCAATGCAATATAATGTAATGGAATGGAATGCAATGCAATGCAATGCAATATAATGTAATGGAATGGAATGGAATGCAATGCAATGCAATATAATGTAATGGAATGGAATGCAATGCAATGCAATGCAATATAATGTAATGGAATGCAATGCAATGCAATGCAATGCAATATAATGTAATGTAATGGAATGGAATGGAATCCAATAAAATGCAATGCAATGCAATGCAATATAATGTAATGGAATGGAATGCAATGCAATGCAATGCAATATAATGTAATGGAATGGAATGGAATGGAATCCAATGCAATGCAATGCAATGCAATGCAATATAATGTAATGGAATGGAATGCAATGCAATGCAATGCAATATAATGTAATGGAATGGAATGGAATGGAATCCAATGCAATGCAATGCAATGCAATATAATGTAATGGAATGGAATGGAATGCAATGCAATATAATGTAATGGAATGGAATGCAATGCAATGCAATGTAATGGAATGTAATGGAATGCAATTGAATGGAATGGAATGTAATGGAATGGAATGCAATGCAATGTAATGGAATGTAATGGAATGGAATGGAATGTAATGTAATGTAATGTAATGGAATGGAATGGAATGTAATGTAATGTAATGGAATGGAATGGAATGGAATGGAATGTAATGCAATGCAATGCAATATAATGTAATGTAATGGAATGGAATGCAATGGAATGTAATGTAATGGAATGTAATGGAATGGGATGGAATGGAATGCAATGCAATGCAATGTAATGGAGTGGAATGGAATGGAATGGAATGTAATGGAATGCAATGCAATGTAATGGAATGGAATGGAATGGAATGCAATGCAATATAATGTAATGGAATGGAATGGAATGCAATGCAATGCAATGCAATATAATGTAATGGAATGGAATGCAATATAATGTAATGGAATGGAATGGAATGCAATGCAATGCAATATAATGTAATGGAATGGAATGGAATCCAATGCAATGCAATGCAATATAATGTAATGGAATGGAATGCAATGCAATGCAATATAATGTAATGGAATGGACTGGAATGGAATCCAATGCAATGCAATGCAATATAATGTAATGTAATGGAATGGAATGGAATGCAATGCAATATAATGTAATGGAATGCAATGCAATGCAATGCAATGCAATATAATGTAATGTAATGTAATGGAATGGAATGGAATCCAATAAAATGCAATGCAATGCAATGCAATATAATGTAATGGAATGTAATGGAATGCAATGGAATGCAATGCAATGCAATGTAATGTAATGGAATGGAACGTAATGGAATGCAATGGAATGGAATGGAATGCAATGCAATGCAATGTAGTGTAATGTAATGTAATGGAATGGAATGGAATGCAATGCAATGCAATGTAATGGAATGGAATGCAATGGAATGTAATGGAATGCAATGGAATGCAATGCAATGCAATGTAATGTAATGGAATGGAATGTAATGGAATGCAATGGAATGGAATGCAATGCAATGTAGTGGAATGGAATGGAATGTAATGGAATGTAATGGAATGGAATGGAATGCAATGTAATGTAATGGAATGGAATGTAATGGAATGGAATGCAATGCAATGCAATATAATGTAAGGGAATGGAATGGAATGGAATGGAATCCAATGCAATGCAATGCAATGCAATATAATGTAATGGAATGGAATGGAATGCAATGCAATGCAATGCAATATAATGGAATGGAATGGAATGGAATTCAATGCAATGCAATGCAATATAATGCAATGGAATGGAATGCAATGCAATGCAATGCAATATAATGGAATGGAATGGAATGGAATCCAATGCAATGCAATGCAATATAATGTAATGTAATGGAATGGAATGGAATGCAATGCAATGCAATGCAATATAATGTAATGGAATGGAATGGAATGGAATCCAATGCAATGCAATACAATGGAATGGAATGGAATGGAATGGAATGGAATGCAATGGAATGCAATGCAATGCAATGTAATGTAATGGAATGGAATGTAATGGAATGCAATGGAATGGAATGCAATGCAATGCAATGTAGTGTAGCGGAATGGAATGTAATGGAATGTAATGGAATGGAATGGAATGGAATGCAATGTAATGTAATGGAATGGAATGGAATGCAATGCAATGCAATGTAATGGAATGTAATGGAAGGGAATGGAATGGAATGTAATGGAATGGGATGGAATGGAATGCAATGCAATGCAATGTAATGGAGTGGAATGGAATGGAATGGAATGTAATGGAATGCAATGCAATGTAATGGAATGGAATGGAATGGAATGCAATGCAATGTAATGGAATGTAATGGAATGGACTGCAATGCAATGCAATGTAATGGAATGGAATGCAATGCAATGCAATATAATGTAATGGAATGGAATGGAATGCAATGCAATGCAATGCAATATAATGTAATGGAATGGAATGGAATGCAATGCAATATAATGGAATGGAATGGAATGGAATGGAATGGAATGCAATGCAATGCAATGCAATGCAATATAGTGTAATGGAATGGAATGGAATGCAATGCAATATAATGTAATGGAATGGAATGGAATGCAATGCAATGCAATGCATTGTAATGGAATGTAATGGAATGTAATGGAATGGAATGCAATGCAATGCAATCTAATGGAATGGAATGGAATGCAATGCAATGCAATGCAATATAATGCAATGGAATGGAATGGAATCCAATGCAATGCAATGCAATGCAATATAATGTAATGGAATGGAATGCAATGCAATGATATGCAATGCAATATAATGTAATGGAATGGAATGGAATGGAATCCAATGCAATGCAATGCAATGCAATATAATGTAATGGAATGGAATGGAATGGAATGGAATCCAATGCAATGCAACGCAATGCAATATAATGTAATGGAATGGAATGGAATGCAATGCAATGCAATGCAATGCAATGTAATGTAATGGAATGGAATGTAATGGAATGCAATGGAATGGAATGCAATATAATGTAATGGAATGGAATGCAATGCAATGCAATATAATGTAATGTAATGTAATGGAATGGAATGGAATCCAATAAAATGCAATGCAATGCAATGCAATATAATGTAATGGAATGGAATGGAATGCAATGCAATATAATGTAATGGAATGGAATGGAATGGAATCCAATGCAATGCAATGCAATGCAATGCAATGCAATATAATGTAATGGAATGGAATGCAATGCAATGCAATGCAATATAATGTAATGGAATGGAATGGAATGGAATCCAATCCAATGCAATGCAATGCAATATAATGTAATGGAATGGAATGGAACGCAATGCAATGCAATATAATGTAATGGAATGGAATGGAATGTAATGGAATGGAATGGAATGGAATGCAATGCAATGTAATGGAATGTAATGGAATGGAATGGAATGTAATGGAATGGAATGGAATGTAATGTAATGGAATGTAATGTAATGGAATGTGATGGAATGGAATGGAATGCAATGGAATGTATTGGAATGGAATGGAATGGAATGCAATGCAATATAATGTAATGGAATGGAATGCAATGCAATGCAATGTAATGTAATGGAATGGAATGGAATCCAATAAAATGCAATGCAATGCAATGCAATATAATGTAATGTAATGGAATGTAATGAAATGGAATGCAATGCAATGCAATGTAATGTAATGGAATGTAATGGAATGCAATGGAATGGAATGGAATGCAATGCAATACAATGCAATGTAATGGAATGGAATGGAATGGAATGGAATGCAATGCAATGCAATGGAATGTAATGTAATGGAATGGAATGCAATGCAATGCAATGCAATATAATGTAATGGAATGGAATGGAATCCAATGCAATGCAATGCAATGCAATATAATGTAATGGAATGGAATGGAATGGAATGCAATGCAATATAATGGAATGGAATGGAATGGAATCCAATGCAATGCAATGCAATGCAATGCAATATAATGGAATGGAATGGAATGGAATGCAATGCAATGCAATATAATGTAATGGAATGGAATGGAATAGAATGGAATCCAATGCAATGCAATGCAATGCAATATAATGTAATGGAATGGAATGGAATGGAATCCAATGCAATGCAATGCATTGCAATGGAATGGAATGGAATGCAATGCAATGCAATGCTATGCAATGCAATGCAATGCAATGTAATGCAATGTAATGGAATGCAATGCAATGCAATGTAATGTAACATAATGTAATGTGATGTAATGGAATGCAATGCAATGTAAAGGAATGGAATGCAATGCAATGCAATGCAATGCAATGCAATGGAATGCAATGCAATGCAATGTAATGTAATGGAATGCAATGCAATGCAATGCAATGTAATGCAATGTAATGTGACCTAATGTAATGTAATGTAACGTAATGCAATGTAATGTAACGTAATGCAATGTAATGTAACGTAATGTAATGTAATGTAACGTAATGTAATGTAATGTAAGGTAACGTAATGTAATGTAATGTAAGGTAACGTAATGTAATGTAATGTAACGTAATGTAATGTAATGTAACGTAATGTAATGTAATGTAACGTAATGTAATGTAATGTAACGTAATGTAATGTAACGTAATGTAATGTAACGTAATGTAATGTAATGTAATGTAACGTAATGTAATGTAATGTAACATAACGTAATGTAATGTAATGTAACGTAATGTAGTGTAATGTAACGCAACGTAATGTAATGTAACGTAATGTAATGTAATGTAACGTAATGTAATGTAATGCAATGTAATGTAACGTAACGTAATGTAATGTAAGGTAACGTAATGTAATGTAATGTAACGTAATGTAATGTAATGTAATGTAATATAATGTAACGTAATGTAATGGAACGTAATGTAATACAATGTAATGTAACGTAACGTGATGTAATGTAATGTAACATAATGTAATGTAATGTAATGTAACATAATGTAAGGTAATGTAATGTAATGTAACGTAATGTAATGTAATGTAGTCTAACGTAATGTAAGGTAATGTAATGTAATGTAACGTAATGTAGTGCAATGTAATGTGACCTAATGTAATGTAATGTAATGTAACGTAATGTAATGTAATGTAACCTAATGTAGTCTAGTGTATGTATGTAATTAATGTATGTATGTCATTAATGTCATTAATGTATGTATGTCATTAATGTCATTAATGTGTGTATGTCATTTATGTATGTATGTCATTTATGTATGTATGTCATTAATGTATGCATGTCATTAATGTATGTATGTCATTAATGTCTTAATGTATGAATGTATGTATGTATCAATATTTATCTATCTATCTATCTATCTATTTATGTATGTATCTATGTATCTATGTATCTATGTATCTATGTATCTATGTATCTATGTATGTATGTATGTATGTATGTATGTATGTATCTATCTATCTATCTATCTATGTATCTATGTATCTATGTATCTATGTATCTATGTATCTATATATATTCATGTTATGTATATAAAAGTTTACCATATTCCTGTTTGGGTTGGTTAATGTTGCCTATATACAACCAACGTTCCATGAATTTTCCAAAAAAAAAAACGTGATTGTTTTGTTCCCTCAACAGCCCCGGTTCACTCCTGGGATCTGTGAGTCAAAGGAAGGAGGACGCAGAAAGTTGACCAATGTGTGGGTCTCCTCAAGGCAACGCTTGGGATGGGACCCACAGGCAGAAATCACGTTAAAATATGTTAAAATGATGAGAAGGGACCCTTGAAATCAAGAAAAAAAAGTAAAGAAAGGCATTCGATTCTTTATATTGGTATGTCGTTTTAAAAAAAAAAAATGTTGCTCATTCTATTCAACCATACTGCACCGTCCAATTCTTCTGGGTATCATCGTGGTCTCAAAATTGGGAATGCCATTCCACCAAATCAGAGCCATGGATCTGTCAGGATCCCCGTTTTGAGCCAGCCACAGATATCCCGTATCCCCATAGAATCTAGCAACCCAAGAACATCGACAAGCTAAATCCTAGATTCCTAGATGAGTACTGTGGTAAAATACTATATTCTCTCTCTTTTGGAGTGATGCTATACTTTTGCCAACCCTCTTTTTCTCGGTCATGTTCAACCCCCTAGGTTTTCCATCTTGAGTGCCTAATCATTTTTATTATTCCCCAAAGATATAAGATAACTTACATTATTTCCAAACATGGATCCTGTTGTGCTGAAAACAATCCAGATCATTCCCAATAAGTTCCATGTTAATCCGTTTTTCCCGTAGAATTCATGTTTTTCTGGGAAAACACCCATTTTTTTAAGGTAAAAAACACCCAATAAGGTCGATTTTCATGGGTCCCAAGTCGTCGCAAACCGGCCTCATCATGGCTGCAGTGACTGGAACGACTCTCAGGAGCTTCAGCTTCTGCAGGGGCCGTCTTGGGCCTGGAGACACGGCGATGTATCAGACAAGTTGCGGTGGATTTTATCAGACAAAGATTGTGTTTTTTGTACATAAACCCCCCCTTTTTATGGGGAGATCATTTCGATGTAATCGGGGATGTATATAATGGACAAAATGATTCTATTGGGAATTGAATGTGGCATAGCATTCTAAGGGTGTATGGGGATTTGAAACAGCCACAAATCAGCGAATGTGAATCAACAACAAATGCATAAATCATGGGAAACCCATCATTCGACATGAAACCAACCATCTAATAATTTTCTGGGGATATGGATATAAAAGGGATATGTTGTGGATGCAACCAATCAATATGATACGGGTTTAAATCTGAAAATGAAGCATTCGATTTATGTAACGTCCATGGGAAGATGATGATTAACCGCTGGGTTTAGGAGGTACGTACCTCCAGGTACCCCATGTTTGAACAAGCCCAGATGCACGATAAAGAACCTCCTAAAAACCAAAGAAAGAGTTTCCCCAAGATTGGGATGATTGTCTGATCGGAAATGTTGGCTGCAGCACAGGGGGTCTATGTTAGCTGCGTGTATCAAAAAAAAACAAAAAAACACGAAGGATTGAACTACTGAACGTTGTGGGATTTTATATAGTAAGCAGATCGGATTGAATCAAACAAAATGGGCCGATTTGAACCTCGCCCAAACATTTAGCAACCCCTCGGCAGAGCGGTCCTATTTGGATCCTCCCAAACTCGGTATTGCGTCACCTGGCAGGCCCCGGGCCCCAAACGATTGCCCTTATCGAGGCATGGCTTGTCACGAGAAATGCGACTGTGGATCAGAACTGTAAGGCCCATTGGACAACAGATGTTGCCGAATTTTTGGTAGTGAATCATCATGAATCATCTGGATCCATATCCATATGAGTTCGGAATGCTGTTGGCTATTCCCTCATGAATGTCATGAAGAAAACACAAAGTGCTGAGGGCACAAACCAATGAGGATTTCCAAAACTGGTGGATGCCACAACCATCGATTTACCATCTTCTGTTACACACATATGTATGTGGATATGTAACGCATGATACATTTGTATATGTAGACATAAGGATAGAACCCAATTAGAGCGCGGCAACACTTCAAAAGAACTGTTTGGCACTGTGAGCAATGGCAATGAATATGATATATGGAATATGCCAATGTGGATATGATATAGATATATAAGTGTGTACATATACATTTGTGTATGTATATATATATAGTATGTGTATATATATAAATATATAGTTATATAGTATATGTATATGTATAGTGTATAGTGTATAGTGTATAGTGTATATGTATATGCATAGTGTAGATATACATATATAATATATATTATATATAGACATTATATATAGATACTATATATATATAATATATAATATATATATATATATCTACAGTATAGCAATGAGTATTAGAAGTCAAAATTGGAAGTTCTCCCCGGAGTCACGCACCGCATTTTGGGCCGGCTTTGGGCTCCGCGGGCTCCGCCAGAGTTTCAGCAGTGCCGCGCCACAGTTTCGGGATGCCCAGATTTGGCCGGGTCAGTGGGTGTTATTCAACTCATGGATGTGGGAAAGCCAATGTCTTAAACCTACCATTTGGTGATCATTAAAAAAAAATGTGATTTGGGGGATGGTTTCATTTCCATCTCCTTTTGGGTGTCCTTCTCACAACTCAAAGGCCACCATCAGGGCGCGCTGTGTCCGGCGCAGCCATTCCGACGAGCCGGCACCTGCCGTTGCGAAGTTGCGACGAAACGGCGCTTGGATAAGCTTGGGAAGAGATGATGAACTGATCAACTGATTCACTGTCAGTTCCCCTTCAGAATCAACCGACCATTGACGTCACAACATCACAACACCATGTTTGCCTTCCAGCTAAACATGTCTTTTTAACGTCCGTGAGTGTCTGTTTTTCGGAGCAGACAATGGTTTGGGAGTCGGTGCAACCCCTTCAGCCATTGGGATCCATTGGGGCCATCAATCAGCTTTCGGCTTTCGGATCAATCGTGTGGCCTCTGCCAAAACAAAAGACGATCTGCTTGAAGCATCGATCTGGTGCTCCCCCTGGGTGGATCATAGATCAACTCTCCATGGAATCCATGGAACAAGTAGAACCAAGGGCTGACCTAACTGCAAGGTCTCTGCAAGGTCTCTGATCAAAACTAATCCCACCACTCCCCCTGCCTTTGGGGCCATGCCTGGCATATTTGAATCACCCATGGTGATCCAATGATGATCCAATGGGGAAAACAGTTGACAGATGTTGACAGTACCTTTCGGCCTCGCTCGCCTACTTGGTCAAGACATGTCGATGTTCAATAGCTCTATTAGCCAACACACCAACGAAGAACGTGGAAATGAAAATGATGGATTGACCCAAAACAGTGTTACTTTTCAATGGGAATGTAATGATATATCACATTATATCACTGGATTCTAAAGGTACCCAGTTTTCAGAGAAACCCAGAATTTCATTGCTGAAAACATGCAGGATTCCACAGGACTTCAGCCCAGACTTCAGCCGCCTGGCGGCTGTGGGCCGTTGCAGTTCCAGTTCGAAGTGGATACATCACCACTGTTATAGGGGTCACATTCCAACTTATGGAGGTTGATAATCTTATTCCGTTTCTGAAACCATAACCCCAACTGACATGAACTCTGGAAACTGAAATGGTCAGCTCCAGCAAATGCTTCGCCAGTTTGAGGGCTTCATCTCCCAATGAGGTCTTAGCCCTAGGTTTTAAGGGGAATACGAACGAATCCAATGGGAATCCAGTACTCATCATCCTAGTTCCCTTGATCCAAAAATCGGGGGGCAGTCACCACTTCTGGACTTTGTTCGTTTACATCCTCAGACTATCTTCAATCACTTCCCAATCAGTTCCCAATCATATATATCCCGATCCTAATATTTGCTTTGTATAGCTTTACATGTACGAAATAGGTATGGATATTGATATAGAGACTATATGATATATACATATGTGTGTATATATATATATATATTTATTTATTATATATATGTCATATATATATATATATACATATGCATGTGTGTGTGTATGTATGATTATACAACATCGTTAAGCAGGACTCCCAGCCTCCTCCAGCGACAGGACTTCACGGCCTCGCGAGGTGCCTGGGAGGCCTGATTCGCGATTTATGGAGAGGGATACAACCCATTTATGGTGATATCCTCTGGTAAACTAACATAGCTATGGAAAATCACCATTTTCAATGGGAAAACTCACTATAAATGGCCATTTTCAATAGCTATGTTAGTTTACCGGAGGGTATGGTGATAAATAGGGATAGCATGGTTGATTTTATATGGCTAAAAACCACATGATTGGGAGTATCCCTCTCCATAAAAGTGGTGATGTTCATGGCTTTACCATCTGATAACCATTGGAATCATTTTTATGGGTTTACCACAGTATTGGGAGTTGACCAGCAAAGTGTTGGGAATTGACCAGCAAATGTTAGGCATGTAGCCAAATGTTAGGCATTTACCAATGAGATCGAATCAGATTAACCCAGCTTTGCAACCCAACAGCATACCTGAATCTTCCACCTACGTCTTTTTTCAGACCCTGTGCCAAAGTCTGTTTTTTTCAGTACCCAGAAAACTTTTCAGGACCTACTCTCAAATTCAGGATCTGGCCATTTTGGGGTATCAATGGTAATGGCAATCATTGGGTGCAAACATGTGAAACCAACATTTGGTGGATATTCAAGCCATTGGCATTGATCCACGCAAATAAAAGCACTCCTAGCCCAAACTCATGGCAAGGCAGGATCAGAATATAGTATATTCCAGAAAGTATGTCAGAATAGATGCCAGATAGGATGCCAGAAAGAATGTCAAATAGAATCTCAGAAAAGAATGTAAGATAGTATGTCAGAACATATATGCCACATATACGTCCAGATGATATGTCAGAAACTATGTCAGAATAGTGTGTCAGGGTGGGGCTCACTCTTAGTAAGGCAATTTTGAAAATATATTTCAGGTTCGGAATTTTCAAACTGTTGTCCTTCAGGCGCCGAAGCTCCCGTTGAAGGTCAGCATCGCCCCATGTCAACTGGTCCAGGCCAAACGCCTGCGGGCGATATTGTAGGCCTGCGGGCCCAACGCCTGCGGGCGATCGGCCTGCGGGCCAGTAATAATGCCTGCGGGCAAAAGGTCTGCGGACCAATGGCCTGAGGGCCAATGCATGTGCCGGCGATGACAAGGGGGTCCTTCAAATCCACATTCTAACTTCAGTCTGAAACACACATTAATTGTCAGTGTGATGCCAATGCTCGTCGGTGTGTGCTATTTTTCTTATCGCAGGTATTACACCTTCCAAGCCATGCCCGAGCCGAAGCAGAAAGAAAGAAGCCGAGAGAGGAGCCGAGGCAGAACCCGAACTCGCCGCCGGAGCTCGTCTAGCAGCGAGTCTGTCGTGGACGAAAAGGAAGAGACAGAGAGCCGCCCTCCACCACCGGACCCGCGGGTCGATGGCCAAGGCCGTTCCAAGTCGAAGTCTCCCGCGCGCAAACGCTCTGAGGAGCCGCTGCAGGAACTTTCTACAACATCGGACCACTTCCATTTCAACAAGTCCAACTTCATCGATTAGGGTGTTGGTTGAATGGACTTGGGACTCTAGCTGGCACGGCATCCCTTGTAACCCTGTAGACACTGTAGTGGGCAAAAAGATTGTAACACACAGAATCAGCATCATTTTGATCAGGCATTCTTTTTGCTAATCCTTTCTCCCTATTACGAAAAATACCCCCAAATGACAAAAACTAGGTGCGATTTCCAATTTTGGGAAATGTCAAATTGGTTAATCTGATTTTTAATTGATCCCCTTGAGGAAACAATTTTAAAAATGAAGGTACCATGTGAGGGTTTCACCCCCAAAGAATAAAAAACTAGTCAACACCGGGGTGTCTTTTATTGGGGTCCGTCCTTTAAAATCGTCAATTTTAGTTTTTTTAATTCAGGTGTTGGTGTTTTATTTGATACTAGGCGAAAGCTTCGAAATCCTATTCTTGGCAGTATTCTATTTAAAGATTATTTTCATGGATTTTGAAATTAGAAACAAAAAACGGTTTAATCCCTTCCCCCTGTTGCTAAACAGTCGCCCCTTCACCCACCCACCCAAATAACAAACACCTGGAGGAGTTTTTAGTATTGGGGGGGTCTTTAGTATTAGGGTACGAAGCTTCCCCCTAATACTGATAAAAAACACACACATATATATATATACACATATTTCTATTTCAAAATCGATCAGATTTCTTTCTTTTTAAATCCAATTAAAATATGGCAAACAAGTGGATTCCGAAGCTTAATATCAAATAAAAACCCCCAACATAAAAAACTATGTATGTTTTTCTATTTCGAAATCGATTAGATTTCGTTTTAAAAATTAAATAAAATATGGCCAAAAAATTGGATGTCGAAGCTTTCCCCTTATATTAAACCCTAATATCATTTTGTTTTTTTTCCTGTTTCAAAATCGATTAGATTTCCTTTTGAAATCTTATGAAAAAAAACAAGAAATTGATTTTGAAGCTTTCCCCTAATATCAAATTAAAATCCAATTATTAAAATATGTTCAAAAATTGGCTTTCGATGCTTCCCCTAATCTTGCATGAAAAAATCCAATATAAAAAACTAAATTTGTTCTATTTCAGAATCGATTAGATTTCCTTGTAAATTCAAATTAAGATATTGCCAGAAATTGGATTTCGAAGCTTTCCCCTCATATTAAACCCTCATATCAAAGACTATTTTTTCTAGATCAAAATTCATTAGATTTCCTTTTGAAATCTAATTAGAACATGGTCAAAAATTGGATTTTGAAATTTTCCCCTAATATTACATTAAAAAAACCTAATATAAAATATTATTTTTTCTTTTTCGAAATCGATTCGATTTCCTTTTAAATTGTAGTAACAAAAATAAAAACAAAAACCGGATTTCGAAATGTTTCCTCTAATATTAAATTACCAGCCCTAATATATTTTAAAAAAAAAACTGTTTCAAAATCGATTAGTTTTCTGTTTAACATATAATTAAGATATTGCTAAAAATTGGATTTCGAAGTTTTCCCCTAAGATTAAATTAAAAACACTAATAAAAAAAAACTATGTTTTTTCGATTTCAAGAATCGATTAGATTTCCTTTTGACATCCAGCAAAAATATTGCCAGGAAATGCCAAAAAGTGGATTTCGAAGTTTTCCCCCAATATTATATAAACGTTGTAATATAAAATACTTATTTTTTCGACCTTAAAAGACCCTAGTTTAAAAAATCACCGGGGCTGACTAGTTTTTATTTTTTGGTGGTGAAATCCTGAAATGGGACCTTCATGTTTAATTTGTTTTTGAAAAGGTATCAATTAAAAGTCAAACTGGCCAGCCTGAAATTTCCCAAAATTTAACGCGGACCCTAGTAAAAGGAATCAATGTAATATTTTAGTATTTAGGGTACGTTTAGTAAAAGGAGGTGGGGATTAGTAAGGTTTTCAATTTAATATAAGGGGAAGCTTCGAAATCCAAGTTGGCAAGATTTGAGTTAGATTTTGAATAGGAATTCAATCGGTTTTGAAATATAAAGTTCATTTTTTTAAACGAATGTTTTCAATTTAATGTCAGGGGGAAGCTTCGGATCCAATTTTGGCAATATTTTAGTTAGATGTTATTTTAAAAATGTTTTCCAATTTAGTTTTTTAAACCAAGGGGGAAGTTTCGCACCCTCATACTAAATACCCACTAAATACAAAAAACTATTCCGTGTGTTCATTATTGGGTGGGGAGGGGCAGACGGTTTATTATGACGCAGGGATTGGTCAGGCATCACTTGCTGGAATTATTGGATTCTTTTGGGATGATTGGTTATGATGTTTAGTCAGGCATGGTTCCCTTCAGTCATGCACGATTTTTGCAAAAATCCTATTTAGGCACGACCCCAAAATCCCAGCCCGGCAAATTCCGGCCCGGGCCCGGCAAATTCCGGCCCGCGCCTGCAAATTCCGGCCCTGCGTTTTTCCAAAATCAGGCAAAACCAGTAAATCAGGTATTAAGTCAGGTGTAGTTACCTTTTAAGTCATTAAGGCTAGTCAGGCATGGTTCCAGTGGGTACCTTTTAATTGCGAAGGCTAGTCAGGCATGGTTCCCTGAATTCAGGGGCATGGGTACCTTTTAATTATGAAGGCTAGTCAGGCATGGGTTCTGTTAAGTCAGGCGTGGGTGGGTACCTCTTAATTATGAAGGCTAGTCAGGCATGGTTCCCTTAAGTCGGGTGTGGTTACGCTTTAAGTCATGAAGGCTAGTCAGGCATGGGTACCTTTTAAGTGATGAAATCTGAATCAGGCGGAGCTCCTATTCTAAATGTGTTAAATCCAATTGTTCAGTGTGGAAAATCGATTTTTTGGCTGGTCTACGGGCAAACCCTGTGTCTTCCAATACCATAGCGTGCTGATGTCGCTTGCCTGCATAATAGTTAAGGCCAAAGCTTAGGTCATCAGTGTGATCCTGAAATGGCGCCACGACCAAGAAGATGACATGTGTAAAATGGGCCCTGGATTAACAAAGGCTGACTAATGAATTTGGAGGATGCCACTAAAGTATGACATGTAATCACTTTTGAGGAGCACTCTATGGCACGCAGCGCGCGCAGCCTGCTTTACGGTTTAGCGTTTGAAAGTTTTAGGCTTTGCCTCTATGGCACGCAGCGTTTGAAAGTTTAACCGTTTACCTCTATGGCAGGCTGTGCGCGCAGTACGCGTTACGGTTTAAAGTTTGAAAGTTTTAGGGTTTATGTGTGTGGCACGCAGTGCGCGCAGCGCGCATTAGGGTTTAGGGTTTGGAAGTTTTATAGTTTATTTTATTGCATGCAGCGTGCACAGCGTGGGTTGAACTTTAGGGTTTCGAAGTTTTAGGGTTAACCTCCATGACACGATGGTTTAGGGTTTGGAGATTTTAAGGGGTACTTCTATGGCACACAGCGCGCGCAGCGCGCGTTAGGGTTTAGGGTTTAGGGTTTGGAAATTTTAGGGTTTACCTCTATGACACGAGAGTTTCAGGTTTGAAGATTTTAGGGTTTATTTCTATTGCACAAAGCGCGCGCAGCGCGCATTAGTGTTTAGGGTTTGAAGGTTTTAGGGTTTATCTCTGGCACGCAGCGCGCACAGCACGCATTAGGGTTTAGGGTTTGGAAGTTTTAGGGTTTATTTTATTGCATGCAGCGCGCACACCGCGGGTTAAACTTTAGGGTTTGGAAGTTGCATAACACGATGGTTTAGGGTTTGGAAATTTTAGGGTTTACTTCTCTGGGACACAGCGCGCGCACCGCGCATTAGGGTTTAGGGTTTGGAAGTTTTAGGGTTTACTTTATTGCATGCAGCGCGCGCAGCGCGCATAGAGTTTAGGGTTTGGAAGTTTTAGGGTTTCAAGGGTTCCAAGGTTCCAGGGTACCAGGGTCCCACGGTTTCAGGGTTCCAAGGGGGTTCCAAGGGTTCCAAGGAATCCAGGGTTTCAGGGTTCCAGGATCCCAGCAGGGTGCCAGGTGTGCAGGGTTGCAGGGTTCCAAGGTTCCAGGGTTCCAAGGTAGCAGGGTTCCAAATCCTTGAGGGTTCCTGGGTGCCAAGGTTCCAAGGTTTCAGGGTTCCACGGTCGCAGGGTTCCAAGGTTCCAGGGTTTCAGGGTTCCAGGGTTCCGGGGTTCCAGGGTTCCAGGGTTCCAGGGTTCCGGGGTTCCAGGGTTCCAGGGTTCCGGGGTTCCAAGGTTTCAGGGTTCCAGGGTTCCAGGGTCCCACGGTTTCAGGGTTCCAAGGTTTCCAGGGTTCCAAGGGTTCCAAGGGTTCCAAGGGTTCCAAGGGTTCCAAGGGTTCCAAGGGTTCCAAGGGTTCCAAGGGTTCCAAGGGTTCCAGGGTTTCAGGGTCCCAGCAGGGTGCCAGGTGTGCAGGGTTGCAGGGTTCCAAGGTTCCAGGGTTCCAAGGTTGCAGGGTTCCAGAATCCTTGAGGGTTCCAGGGTGCCAAGGTTCCAAGGTTTCAGGGTTCCACGGTCGCAGGGTTCCAAGGTTCCAGGGTTCAGGGTTCCAGGGTTCCGGGGTTCCAGGGTTCCAGGGTTCCGGGGTTCCAAGGTTTCAGGGTTCCAGGGTTCCAGGGTTCCAGGGTTCCGGGGTTCCGGGGTTCCAAGGTTTCAGGGTTCCAGGGTTCCAGGGTTCCAGGGTTCCAGGGTCCATTCCGGATTTTGAAGGCTGCAAGTCCCCGCGAGCCAGCCCCAGCCCTAGAGATTGAAACCCAACAGGCCCTGCTGTTGGGAATTATTAGGATGATTGGTTTTAAGGGAATATTCACCATCAAATGTGAGGATTTTACATACATTGGGATAGAAGACCTCTAAACATATGATGATTTCACTGGGTTTGTTTTATTGGAAGGTCTAGGGATGAAACCTGGTGTCTAGCCACCAAACTGTTGGGGTTACCGGGTTTTCCACAGATGTTTCCTTCAGCCATGTCTGGGAACTGATTTGGAATCATCAGTCTATCAGAATAACAATGGGATATGCATCCATCGTAAAATTCATTTTCGCCCAGGATTTCAAATCATCATATAATCAGACGGTCAGATGTGGCAAAGCGGTTGGAAACCAAAGCTGTGGGCATATTTTCTACATTGAGCGTTGTCATTCCAACCAGTAATGAGAGCTGTCTATCTGTGTGTTCTTCATCCCCTTTAAGTATTCTTTAAAATACGGTTTCAGGCAACATGAAAGTCGGCAACAAACTCTTACATCTGAGTGACTGAAACATGTGTCTAGCTTACTGACTGAACGTTATTTATTCACCCCATCCATCACATAGCATCAAACGCGTGCGCAAGTGCGAGTGAACGTTCCCTAACGTAGCATGGCTCAATTGCGCCTGCAAGTACGAGTGAATGTTATTAGCCCACCCCACACTACCCACCGCAAACCACCCACCCGAACGCCACAAAACACTGAAAACGTTTTTAGCTGTTGAAGAAGAATAAAAACATAGTGTAGATTGGGTGGCTAACAAGAACAACAATTGATGATTACATTAGTATCATTCTGAATTCTAAACCAGTAATCAGTTATAAACAATTATGGTCTCATTTTACCATCAACAAAAATCCAATTGCGCGCAACATACCCAGAATCTGATCACAGAAGGATAGATAGGTGTTTGATGCCCATCAAGATTTTGGCCCAATCAATGTATGACCACAGATCCGTTGGCATAGGCCGAGTTGTTTGTCCTTCATCCAATCTATTTGATCAGCATGACGCCTCTCAGGTTTTAGGAATTTCATTGCCATGTTCATTGGGAGACAAACCAGAAGTTGGACAAAAGAGTTCAAATAAGCTGAGCCACTCCAAGGCTTTCCATTTCATTCATGGACCCTGGTTCTCCACACACCAGTGGCTAGCCACTCGGCAGACCTGTGCTGCAAGCCACCAAAAGGGCATCGCATCCGTTCACCGCCTTGGAACCCAGCGGATTGCCATGGAAACCTAGAGACTCAAGCATAGCTACCTCAAAGGCCAAAAAAAAACAACTCACCAGATCAGATTCATCCTTCACAATTGCGGAGAAGAAACGAAAAAGAAATCCAGATGGAGAGTGATCAAAACTTGTCAAACACCATAGTTCATGGATTGTGATCATCCTTCATGTAGGGTGGTTTCCCAAAAAGTACCCCAAGATCATCCAGCTTTTTTTAATATCAATGGGAAACCAATGGTTTGGGGTACCCACATGGAGGTTTCCTAAAATGGGGGTAACCCCAAATCATCCATTTTGGGGTATCTCCATTTCAGGAAACCTCCATATGTTAAAGCCCCATCCCCATGGAGAGTTCTGATCCCCTTTACCCATCAGCCCTCGCAGCTGCGCTCCAGGCGGTAGAGCGAACCGCTGAAGCCACCTGGGCCTTGTATTGCCGACGCGACAGCAGCGCAGTCTCCTGCCTTGGCCAGGGAGAAAAAAGTGGGGATATCACCATGGGGTATAAAACCATTAACCATTGATATTCAATGGATATAATAAGTTATAACCATTAATAACCATCAATAACCATTGATAGCCATTGATAAGCATATGAAATGATACAGACAATGCGATACATAAACGTCCCATTAATAACCATTTGTATCCAATACAGTAACAGCCAGACATTGTTTAAATGATGTTGTTTATGGGGATAACCAAGAATGGGAGAGTTGGTGGAAAATCTAAGCAAATGGGAGTTCATCAGGTTGACCACCGATTAAGGTGAAAGATAGCTGTGTGGGCACCACTAGTGCCACACCATCACTGGAACCTCAGCCCCTGGCCCCACTGGTCCCATGCCTTTCACAGCAGGAACAACGCCATACCTTATCCACGTTGTCACACAATTTCGGTGGCAAATGTGTCAAGACATTCATCACTTCCAATGATTTTGGGACTCATTATGTCATCATTAGGTCATTCCAGGGATTTTGCTGTGTTGAAACATGTTGAAACCATCTCTGGCTCCAAAAAATCTTCAGTATCGGCGGGCGCCAATTCCCAGACCATGGAAATCAGAAGTCTAAGCTTCAGGACGCCAAGGGAAGACGCCAAGACGCTGCCTCGATAATTTTCAGCACATGTTTGGTCATTGAGGCACTAAAGCTGGCTTGCATCAGATTTTTTGAATCTTTTTGAACATATTTGAGCAGTGTTCAATTTTCTGGCGTCATTTCATTCTACTGGTTGGTCAAGAACGGGATTCCCACATGGATGGTGATCATCCCAGGCACAACTCCCGAACAGATTGAACGCAGCCACTGCTCAGCAGGCGAATCCAAAAACCGAGGCGGCGTACGGTGGGATGGTCTTCCTCCAAATCAGATGGTAGCACCCACAGATCCAGCAGGATAAGCCCATCCTGGAGCAGAACGGTGGCAAGGGTGAAAGTGCCCTGATTTTTCCCGGGTACTATGGAATACCTCCCCTCACCGGCTAGTTTATTGTCATAGAATCCTGTTGCAATTGGATATATGTTCATATCTAAATATATACGCACTAATTATAATATAATATACTTTTTACCGGCGTATTGATGGATTACTTATCAAAACCACAGCAGCCACAGTTCAAACTCCTGGCCAACTTCGGGTCCTCGTCTCCAGCGTTGGGATAAGATTCGGCCAAACTCCCATCATTGCAGTCACCCCAGTGCTCGCTCTGGTTGAACGAAGCGTGGTAGTGCAACCTGGCCACAAAAGGCTTCCTAAAATCAATTACCCAATGGTACCCAAGAATCCAGTGATCTGTTTTGATCATTTTTCTACGACTACAAAAACAACATTTCGAGAAAAAAATGATGTATGCCATTTTCTGGGCCCAACTGGGGCCCACCATCTCTTGCCGAGACACTGTGGCAGAAGCAGGGACGCCAACTTGGAGCGAACTTCCTCCAAGGTGCAACAATCAAAATGCCTCAAAGTGAAGCATGATTTACATCAGCATCAGCTCGCCTTCGAGGTGTAGGCCAGCGGATAGTTGGTGCGCTCCAGTAGTAGCAGCTCATCTATGAGCAAGGGAGAATCTGGCTCCTCTCGGAAGCACTGCGATTAGGATAGATAGCCCATTTATAGCAGCCCCAAAAAAGATTGGAAGAGTGAAACCCTACCAAAATAGTGGCAGCTTATACATGTACATAAGTATACTATACATTATCATACTATCTTTAAGTATAGGATATCATACAATATAATATAATACAATATCATATCATATAATATAGTATAATAGAATAGAATAGAATAGAATAGAACAGAACATACCATACATATAATATAGTATAATATAATAAAATATAATACAATACAATATAATATAGTATCATACACTAGAATAGAATATAATAAAATAGAATAGAATACAATATAATAGAATAGAATACAATATAACATAACATAACATCATATAGTATAACATAACATAACATAATATAACATAATACAACATAACATGAATAAACTATAATATAATATTTTTCTTAACTTATATTATATGACATTACATTACATTATCGGATATCATATTATTTCCTATTATATTATATTATATCATATTATATTCATAGTATATTCATAGTATAATTATAGTATATTATTTCATATCATATAATATCATCATTGTAACTATACTTATAAATAGACTTATACCTTATCATTTTATCCACAACTTAGAAGTGTAATATATTATAATAAAGGATTACAGAATATTAAATAATAATATATTATCGTTTATTGTTTCAGATCATATCATATTATATACATCATATTATACCATATTATATGATATTATATTGTAGTATAGCATAGCATAGCATAGTATATTACACTATAGTATGTTACATTACAGTAGAGTATATATTCTATTACATTTATATTATACTATACTATATTATTTGACTATTGAAATTGTATTTGATTATATTGTACTGGATTGTATTGTGGTGTGTTCTATTATACCAACTATAGATATATATTGTATAATCATAAACTATGCTTGATTGTACTGTTATGTCCTTGCTTGAAGGTTATGTTACTATACTCACCGTGGTCCCACCTTGGCTCCTCCAGTGCGTGCGCCTCAAAGATCAGTCCACTGGTCACGCAGCCATGGCCAGCCACGAAGGCCTCCGTGAACCCATCGGCACAGGCTGTTCAGCGTCTGGGGAGCTGGGAATCCAACCGGAAATCGCCATGTTTCAATGGGAATATGCTGGAAATAACCAACAAATCACGGGGATATAGTTGGAATGAAAATTTTGGGAAGTCACCAACTTCATGTGATATGTGGGTGTATCTGAAAATAGAGGATACCCAAGAAATAAACTCAGGTGCTATCCTCAACAGCTTGAAAGCTTCTGCGTTTATGCCATAAAAATTAAGCGCTCATGCCATAAAAATTAAGTGCTTATGCCATAAAAAGCATCGGAACCCTTTGCAATTTTACAAAGCATCTGCACCAGAACACTCCGGAACCTCACAAGGTATCTGCACCGGAACCCTCCGGAACCTCACCAAGCATCTTCTCCGCCAAAACCCTCCGGAACCTCACAAGGTAATCCTCCGGAACCTCACCACGCATCTTCACCTAGACCCTCCGGAACCTCATCAGGTAGCTGCACCGGAAACTTCCGGAACCTCACCAGGTACCTGCACCAAAACCCTGTAGAACCTAACCAAGTATCTGCACCTAGACCCTCCGGAACCTCGCCGAGTACCTGCACCGGAAACTTCCAGAAGCTCACAAGGGCACCGGAACCCTCCGGAACCGCACAGAACCCTCCGGAGCCTCAGCAGGTATCTTCACCGGAACCCTCCGGAACCTCACGAGGTATCTGCACCAGAGCATGCCGGAACCTTGTCCGGAACCTGGTGTTGAAGCTGCACCGGATCGCACCGGAGCTAATCTGGGCTAAAGACCCCATAGCAAAGTTTTGCTGTTGGGGAAAAATGTACAGTTTAATGTTATAGGGCAAAGTATAATAAACCATCAAAGTTGGGGCCACCCTAATCATGGAAAATACTCCAAAAATGCAGATCTTTTCGCCAGGTTAGAAAAAAGTAGAGGGTAACTTCTCCAAGAATCGCCCGGAAAAGTTTCTGCATCATGTGGAGCCAACAACACCTTTGTTGAAGGTTGAGTTGTCTCTGTTCTCTGACATTTCTTGACCCCCAGGACTTGTTTGTAACCTTACACCAGAAAAAAATATCGAATGGCGCTGACCCCAAAAGAGGATCTTGTATGACTGTGTCGAAAAAAGACCTCTATCACCTTTTCTGCCGCAAAAGGGCCATCGAATCATTTCCAGAGATCATCCTATCTCATCCCAATGGATCACAGCACTAAAATGTTCTTCCTCATTAAAAATAACCACATCTGGTTCCCGTTGGCACCTCACCCTCCAATGCCTGCACATTCTGAAGGCTCACCGCTGGCTCTGCACCACAGCAAGCAACACCTCCTTTTTGGCACCGGTGGATGGGAAATCCCGGTGGTTATGATTGATTATACCACAGGTTATACGACGATGTTGGTACCAACGAGATGGAAAAACTTCTGAAAGGGAGAACTTAGTGAACTTCCCCTGCAAAATCTTCACTATTTTGTGAGAAAACATTATGAAAAAGCTTGAAAAAAACAATAGAAATTGCTTCAAAAATCTGAAATGGAAGCGCGACACCCCGATCAACCAACCATATCTCATATGGGGGGAGGTTGGCCAACGCTCACTGCTCAACTTTTCTAAATTTACACCAAGGGTTTGCAAAGCCCCAAATGTGGAGCCAAATTTCAGATCCAAGGTGATTTTGATGTCCCCTCTAGGATTGGTAGTTTACAAAACCACTTCTATGGAATTCTATAGACAGTAACTGGTTACAAATTTCCATGAGCCCCTATAATTCATGGATATTCATGGGATATCCCAGCTGGCTGCGTATCTTTTGTGAGAAGCTAATCTCCATCTCACTGCTATGATCCCAGCCTGTGACCCGGCGCTGCCAGCGGGGCACTGCCACTCTGGCACACATCAGAGCCTTTAACCTGGGCATTGGATACCCCAAAATGGCTGCTTGGGTATTTAAAAATTTATGGTGGAAGCCCTAAAACCCTGAAATTTCATAGTTCAAGACCTCATGTTCACCATTCAATGGCAGTTTGATATAAGTTTGAGGCTTCACACACCCAAAAATGGTGTTGCCGTATCATTTGACTGGTTTTTGACTGCGAGTGAAGAATCTCATCCGCGAGTTGGAACTCCACCAACACTGCGGTATCACTTCAAATGTACAGAAAACGTCCAAAAACCCTGTCAGATAACTTGTGTAATGGGCATTCTACCCTCATTTATAGGGGTGGTAGTCATTCTAAAAAGTTCCAAAACATACAAAAATGATAAAACTAGAATTAAACAGCAGTTCAAGGAAGAATCACACAAGCAAAATGATTGGGAACTCACTCAAAGTGTGATAAGACAAATGCAAGTCTGACTCAAGTGTCTGCCAGGGAACACGTTCGTATCCAAACAATGCGCAAAAAACGCAGAGCGGAATGCATAAGAGCGAAAGTGCTTGGACCCTGCCTATCACGCTGCAAAAGGAAAGCATTTCGCTGGTCACCACAGTCTACAGTAATCACTTGTCCATTGATGTCCATCATACTTGCGCTGACACCATCACTAAACAGCACTTTGCCGCCACAGGGTTTTAACACAAAACCAGTGATGCTACTCTCATGCCTTCAGCATCACCCTGCCTTCAGCAATCTAAGGATGGAAGACTCACGCGCGAGGAAAAGATCCTCCTCCTGAACTGGTGTTTTGCCCAGAGATCCATTTGTTTCAGCATGTGCTTTCCTCGTTTCCCTACTATCCCTACTATCCGAACTTATGGTCAACACAGGATGGAGGGCAAGATTCTCAGATGTAGTGGAGCCTTGGCTTCTGTCAACAACATGAAGCTCCAGATAGCAAATATAAGATCATATAAGTTATATAAATAGTATATAAATCGTATATAAATATCACCTGTGGTTTTTCTGGCCCCAACCTGTGATACCGACGGTGTCTGAATTTTTAACTCAAACTCAGAGCGGAGCAAGTTCAACTCCATGGGCTCAAACCCATGGAGAGGGGTTTTCGTTATCTGACATCGAGTGGTGCCACCGGAACAAAAAAATTGACCTGGAAGCGACCTCAATGTTTTGAGATCGCTGAGGCGATTTTCGAGGAATCTAATGCCGCAAAAATTGCAATCAGGATGACATTGTGTCAGAAACGTCAAATCCTGTCCTTCTTTTTGCCAGGGTACTTCTTGCACAGCGCCATCAAGGGCCGTTTCAAGAGCGTATTCTATGCATCGGAAATGCTGTGGAATTTGTTGATCTTTCGGCTTCACAACTTTCTTCCGATCAAAGTCTAAGACTAAGATGTTGGGCGAGTTGCCAATCTTTCGAGGACGCTGGGTAAAAGTCTGCATCATCAAAGGGTCTTGTCGATCAGGTTGTTCAGGAAGCACCGACACGACAAATAATGGCCATAACAATAATAAGAATACTGGTAATGACAATAATTAATGATAATAGTAGCAATAGCACTCAATTTCCCGCGTCTTCCCTGCAGATTCCGGGACGACTTCATCTCTCCAAAGTTTGCACGGCTTGAACCACGATCAGCAGCACCCAGAGATCCCCCAGCATCCCTTTCCAGTTCCCCAGTTCCCCACGTTCAGAGTCACCCAGGGACCCAGCCTCGGGGCTGGCACCTGACATGGGATGGACTGCCAAAAATGATCATCAAATGATAATCAAATGATAAATGGAAGATTTCTATGGGTGTCCAGTGGATTTCTATGGGGATTTCTATGGATTTCCCAAGATGACGATGGAGACTCCGCCGCTGAAAACCCTCACCTTGCCAAATCGCAGTAGATGGACGGCTCTTGAACATGCTGGGACGGGCATCTGCAGGCATTCCCGCCTTGGGAAGTGTGGCTTTTGAAAATTGGCTGGTGATGTGGGATGATCCAGCAAAGGGGATGGTTGCAAACTCCAAATGACTGCCACATCCCCACCCCAACTGGGCTCCCATGGCTACATCTGGCAAATTGGGAGGCTTCGGCACTGTGCGGCCAGTTGGCAGCCTGAAACAGGGAGGTTTCTTTGTCCGCGGTCCTCTGTACACCTGGTCATTGAAACATCAGAAATGATCAATGGGCGGAGTCTCCCAGCAATTTAGGTGATTTCATCAATCAAGTTTGGGGAGTGTGAAAGAAATATGCCAGAAGCTTAGTACCTGAATGCCCCAAAAACGCCATGAATATGGTCTTAGTAAAGAATAACATGACTATAATACTATAAAACACATGGCAAGGATTGAAAAGAACACAGACTTGGCAATTCCTTGGGTGATCCCCAGATTCAGGCATGATGCGGTTCCCTCTCCCCTCCTTTCCCCTGCCTGGTCTGCGGGACACGGACAGTGATACCTGACGAAAAAGCGGACGCTGCAGCACAAGAAAGTTGCCTTGAATCCGTTGGGCGACCGCTGGTGCTTGCACCATGTTGCAAGACATGAAGTTCAATATCAAGAAGTGGTTGACAAGAGCCACATCCAAAATCACCTTTACAAGACGACTAGGCCCCACCGGACCCAAACAACAAGGCTTCTAGATGGGATTGATGTAGAAATAGTCTACATGGAACATACTCTGGCTCTAGAAATTATGATATCCATCACAAAAACCTGAGGCCCTCCTGCCTGCAGGTGCAGTTTGTGGAATTCCCGAGCGGCGCCTGCAACAGCACGCCCGTCTTCCCAGGATGAACCGTACTCTTCAACCTTTTTGCACAACAAGTCCGGTCTAGATGTCCCATTTTGCTCCAATAAGTCCCCCCTGTTGGTTTTTGAGACATGGTGAAACCATGTTTGAACCCGTACCCAACGGCTTCACATGCTCGTTTTTCAACGCCGTCGCCGCTCGTCCCGGCTGCGTGATCTGCGTGGCACAGGGAGTTGGCCAGCGGGGACCAGCAGCCTTGTTGAAAATCATCCCATTTTCAAGGAGAAAATGAACAAAATTGACACTGGTTTCAACTTTGGGTGTGTCTAAGATGCTTGAGTAAGAACAAAATTTCCCTCTGAAAAATCCAATGTTTGGACAAACACATCAGGCCCCTTAAACAAGGCCAAACAAATCAGCCATTTTCGTGGTAGTTCAATGGACCAATATTTGGCTAGCTGGTTCCGGTCACTTCAAAACATCTTAATATAGCTGGGATCAACCAACAAATCTGTTTGGTAGCTCATGTCAACCCCGGATTCATAAACCCTGGTTTAATTAAGTGCTACCACCAAATCAAGATAATTTGCTCCTAAAGTGGTACTCCCACCAATTGAACAGCCCGCGGGTGTTATATAATCAAGGGTTGACATTATGACATTAAAGATTGATGGCTAGAAGGTGACATCCACTAGCTTCGATTCAAAGTCTTGAAACCCCATCATGTCAATCCCAAGCTGGGAATGGTCCAAACGCTGCAAGCAGAGTTGCCAGAAAGAAGGCTGATTCAAAGACTTGGCTTCAAATCGATACCAAAGGAAAACCATCCACCAGCAAAGTCCATTTTTCATGTTTCAGAATTGTTTTCTGGCATCCTTCAAACCATTGCCTGCTTTTTTCCCTCCTCCGTGCTTCCCCATTGCTGCCTATGCCTGTCACGATCTCGTTCCTCGTCCCTGCGACTGCGACCATCGCGGCCATCGCGACCATCGCGACCATCGCGACCATCGCGACCATCGCGGCCATCACGACCATTGCGGCGGTCTCGGCCTGCCAGAAGTTGTGAATTTGCTATTCTTTCCACAGGTGCGAAGTTCAACAGTAAAGTACAAATATGGCAATACTCCGGTTCCATTGTTTATGACTTGCATTTATCCTCAAGTGGAAAAGGTAAATCAAACCTTGAGCTGTCAGGCAGTTATACCATAGTCGTCCGGAGAACACTTCTAGTTACTGTTTGCCACTGGAAAGTTTCTTAACAATTTGGAGCTAGTAGTGAATGTTGGCTCCCTGGCAGGACAAACAAACCCAGGTAAGACAGGCAAATTCTTGATCAGAACAGCTATAGTTGTACTCAAACCGCTCGACCAAACAAAACTTTCTATGCCTTACCTTCCCTATCTTCCTTCTGGCCGTACTCAAAGGCTCCTGGCAGTGGCAAAATCCCGATCTCACTGCGGCCTTATGAATTCTGAAAACTTTGTTCACGCCCTGCAATGCCCTGAAACTTGCCAATGTCTATTGGAAGTTATCCACATGTCAGGCTGACTGCAACTTCTGGCCCCTGAAGGCATAGTAACCAGACACAATTAATTAGTCGGTACAAGATTTTAGAATCATCTATGTATCTGTATACATATATATATATATATATATCTTTTGTAACTATATTATATAAGTATGTAACTAAAGCAATCATCTATCACTACAAGCGCGCCTGGCTTCTTCCCGCCAGCTTTGGGGCCCTCAGCCGCGGACAGCAAAGGTGCCTGTGAGGCGAAAGTCTAGCCGGAAGCCGGGCGGCGTTTTTATGACAAAATGGATTAAACATCTTTAAAAACCCTGGAGAAACTGTTTCAAATTAGGTTGTGGCTGGTTATAGATGGTTACGGATGGTTCTAGATGGCTATGGATGGTTAGAATTCATGACAGGTTTTGATCCATGTGCAAATGGCACAGCACGAGTTGGAAATGGGGGCAAGGAGCCTCATGCACATTCAAAACTGCCTACCGGGGGTTGATCCAATAGACTTCGTATGACTTAGTTCTTGGCCTCCGGTGTAATCCGTTGCGCCTGATCCTTGCCTTTTCCTTTGCCTTTTCCTTTTCCACGCCCTGGCAGTGCAAATGCTGCACGATAGTCCCAGGCTGTTTGCTCCTTCCCAAGCCCCGAAGCCGCCACCCACCTCCTCCCTTCGTTTCAGCACCACCCTTCACATCTTCCTGCTGGGTCGTGGGTTGGATTGTGGTACTTTTGGGTCCTCCCTTATGGCAATAGTTCAGTGAGCGACCATCTTTGGGCATCCTTCATCACCTACTCTGGGTGCGCCGGGTCGGTACATCTCAAAATTGGGTACCCCATGGCATCCCATGGTTTAGAAATCTGGACACACAATGATCACCCGAACATTGATGGCTTAATACTATAGAACTGATTAGAACTGTACTTTTGAAAGAAGAAACAGTTCACCCTCCACGAATATTCATGGCTTCATACTGATTTCTGGGTCCACTGGACCCCGGTCTTCATAGCTCCACCTTGGACATGCGACTCCCTGTTCGCCACTTGTTCCACAGTTTTGCCACGGACTGAGAGAAGTTCACGAAAATGCGCCTGGTATCAACCCCTCAAAAAGGACTAGGGGTTATAACTGGCCAAAAGAAAACTGGCATCTGCAGGTAGGGCTGGATTCTTTATGACTGGGATGAAAAAGTTGGGCATGAGGTTCAACTGGGGTTGACGACACCATGTTGGTTCGGCTGGTTCCTGCTGTGTATGGAAAGTGACATGATCGTCCTAACCAGGCTGCCAATTGGATCAACTAAAAACCCCCAAGGGCATCCGCACATCGCTGGTTCATCTCTACTTGCGGTGATTCAATTCTTCGGGATTTGTTCGATGCCACAAAAGTAACTCCAAGCAGAACCATGACAGCAGCCCATCGGTTTGGAGCCCATCACTTCAGTTGTGGTCACAGTTGTGGTGCCGCCTGTCATCAATGACACAGTCATGCATCTTGAAGTAGGCCTGGCACAAGACAGAAGTGGTACAGAACCAGCCACAGATGGTCCTGCCAAAATCCATCGCAATCCCGTTTTTTGGCACTTGGAAACATTGCATGGTCTTGACGTTGAACTCGAACTTCTTGTCATTTGGCAAAAGAATAAAGCTGGTTCTTTCCATTCGGACCCTTCCATGCCGTAACAACTCACATTTCAAAATATATCTCAATGGCCACAAACACCTATGTTTAACTCTGCTGAACACCATCTTTGGGCGCAATGACACACCCAAACTTCCGTTTTGGGGGGACCACTGGCTTCATTGTGGAGATGAAACGCATTCCCATGTCTTTGCAATTTTGAAGGTTGAATCAGAAGTACTCAGATTTCAGGCCGCCAAGCGGATACGAATATCCTCAGAGGCTGATTCTATCAAGCAGAAATGGCTGCAGCATTCGAAGTGGCATACCATGACAAAATCCCAACAGAAGTTGGACATCGCAGTATCAAATCGATGGTGCTGCTTCATACTGCAGTGCCTGCTCGCAATCTCGAGGATTCTCATAGATGATGAAGGCATACTGCAAAGAGTCACCCGTCCTGAGTCTGGCGAGTGAAATTATCATTTATCAAACAACATGTGCAGAGTTTTTTGCAAATGTCCTTTCATTGAATTCCAGGACCTAAGATGACTTATATAAGTAACAAATTTGTCGGAAACCGAGAGTACGAAACTGAACATCTACATAAATGGCTGTTGTAGTAGATATACTGGAGAAAATCAAAAGTGAGTTGCCACAAAACACGGCTGAAAGGTTCTGTCTGCTACAGGTTGCCAAGCCCGCAACTTCCAATCCCTCACGATCTCGCAGCTCTTGATCGGCCCGAAACCTTCTCAAGGGCTGATCTGCTGAGTATGGAAACCAAAACATGGGGAAACAGAAAGTATATAAAGGATCTCAAAGCTGGAGTGAGAATGACAGGAACCAACTTTCAAACCATGGCTTTGTCATCTTTCCTGTTGGGATCCCCAAATGTGCTCTTTTAGCATCTCAAGCCAAATATATACAGAACTTCACTTCGCTTCATGATCTGTTTTTTTTCCGTCACCGCACGAAAAGGTCAGAAAAATATACAAAAATGATGAACTAACTGAACTAACACCAGGAAACTACCAATCCATTCCTTACTAAGTAAAGTCATCCCCTTGATCAAAGGATCCCTTGATTCCCCCAGGCCAAGGAGCGTGAGAAGATCAGTTCCAAGTCTCCATCCTGCATCAACATACCCTGGTGCCCTTCACATCAGTGGATGTTCAAGAATATCTAAAAGTATAGCAACAATAGATTTTCAAGCATCCCCAATGTGGCTTTTAGTAAAGCAAGTTCTATTGCAACAAAAATCCTTGGCACCCTTCCATTTGGCCCAGGCTCCCATCGCATCCCAAGCTCCCTGGGTCCAAAACCCTCGTACCCGAAAAAGTGAAGGTCCGAAAAAATCAACAGAATCAGAAGCTGTGAAAGTTGGGATGTTCATCCACCCGATTGTGCTGTTGCTGTTGACCCATACCATCCCGAAAACCATGAGACACCCAGTTCTGGCGACATGAAAACCATCTCCTGCGTGACAGGATTTAGCTTGGCCACGAAGAGGTCAGTGTCCTGATTGATCCCTTTGAAACTGATGGTGGTATCAACCCAGTCGACTGGGGGTATCAACTTGGTACAACGCCTTAAATTCATGAATATAGATCTTCAACATCTCAATGCTATAATGATAATGGAAAATATCATGGGCTATCATGGGGATATTTCATTTTGTATACAACCAACTTGCAGAAGAGAATTTCAATTTCCAGAAAATCAGCCACCTATCATAGGGGATGGCTATTCTCATAGCTTTGATATGGAGGTTATTTTCAAATAAGCGTACCCCCAGTCATCATCCAATCGTCATGGATGACCGTTTGAACGCCCTTAGGCCGTTGCTGGTGGCGCAATGTCGGCATCCGGCAAGTCGTGAAGGAGCTCCAAACTCGTGGCCTGGCAAAAGCTCTACGAAAATTCTGTGAGAAAGACCCAAAAACTTGGCTAACTATGGTATGATGGTATGGTTATCTATGGTTTATAATATATAATTATATAAATATTGATCCAAACAAGTCATATTAATAAAACAGACCCAAAATCTGTGCCATGCGAAAAATGCTGTGCCTGGCTTTTTGCCAACGTCTTCGCCATGCGCTCCTGGTGCAACGCCCAATGCAGTTCAGAAATGGCCGGTTGAAGGTTAAGGGTTAAGGTTCGCTGGGTTCACTGGGTTAATTGGGTTTGAAAATGGGAAAGTGTTTGACTCGGACCCAGTTAACCCAGTTCTAATCTGATTTTTCGCCTCTTAAGTCCCGAACCCCCGTTGAAAACATGTTTTGCGGGAAGGTGCAGCAAGCTCCGTCCTGTAACTCGGATTCGTCTTCTTCATTCTCGATGGTTTTCAGCACCTGGCCCACAATCTCTGACAATACACCATGTGGGTTGGTCTGGAAAGGGAGTTTATAACCCAAATAGCCATTTCATGGAAAACGATGATAAACCGGTGGATTCAGATGGGTACACTATATTTTTGGATATTTTTGGACAAACCTATATAGCATCATACTGATCACCAGATTTGTCATGATACACCATCCAAAGTAGCTGGCAGTTGATGGTTGAAGCAGAGACACTCGAACTGCACAAGGCTGTTGTAAGTGGCTGAGGGTTTGGCCCCATAGAGGGTCAAGTACTAATCCCGACCACCAAGTTGGGGTCATGATCTGCATGATTGACTGGCCTTGATCTTTTGTGAGATCGCTAACATCCTAACAGTTCATTGCTGGCCTTGGTTCGAAGTCTAGTGATCTATAGTGCTTGCCATTTATTTGTACTACATACATACCCTAGCTGGCAGGACCAAGAACCTGGGAATTCCTAGAAAATGATATATATATATATACATATATATTGATGTAAAGAATAATCTTCATAAAAGATATGGAAGATTCAAACAGATTTCGTTGTTGGGCCTCATCTTGGACCACCTCGGGGGACTTGGCTGGGATCAACTCAGCTAACCTCAGTGGAGTGATCGATTCAGCCACCATCCGTCAGCCTGATGTTCTCAATATCAGTGGCTCTACCTCCATTAGCCTCCATGAAAATATATGAAAATCATTAAACCCACCAACGAGCTTGGTTTGTTGAGACGAGACTCTGTTCTACATACAGTACCTGCGTTCCGTTTCTTCGGGGGATGATGAGTATCAATGACCATGGACCATGCGAGTTTATGTTTTAGGGGGGAGAAACAAAGAAAACAGGTCCTCCAGGTCCTCCAGGTCCTCCATATTCTCAAATTGGAAGGGGGTGCCTATGGTCTCATGAATTTCGACCCCCAAAGTTGAGATAAACCCAGGGTCTGACCTCCATGTCTTTACTCCATGTCACTATGCTCCCGTGCCCTTCAGGATCATCAAACGGATCATCCAGGATCTGCGGCGGACCCATGGCTTCAGCAGTCAAAATCATCCCAGTTCTACGAAAATAGAAACTATGTGGAACCATCAACCAGATCATCATTGGGTACCCATGATATCCCCATGATATCCCCATGATATCCCCATTCATGTGCATTCAGAAAGTGTTAATCTCTCAACGCCTCGGTGTGCCAAATCCTGATGTTCTGGTAGGGAGCATGCCTAGGAGCTGCAGCACTGGGGGACATCGGTTGACTTCTGCTTCGGTAAACCATGACTCGTAAACTATGCTTTGTAAACCAAGATCCGTAAACTATGCTCCGTAAACTATGATTCAAAAACCAAACGATGTGACGTGTGAGATGAGACTGTGCATGTACTTGTCAGAGGGGGTGGGATTTTGATATGCCAGTTTTGGTTGCTGAGGTTTGGTTGCTGAAGCGAGAGTGGGTTTTGGTTGCTGAAGCGTAGTTGCTGAAGCGTAGTTGCTGAAGCGTAGTTGCTGAAGCGAGAGGGTAGTTTGGTTGCTGAGCCGTGGTTGCTGAAGCGTAGTTGCTGAGACGTGGTTGCTGAAGCGTAGTAGCCGTAGTTGCTGAAGCGGAGTTTATTCGGGGGACATCCCTCATTCCAGATGTCACCAGGAGGGAAGAAACCCAGCTTGGAAGCTCTGAATGGCGGCCGAAAGACTTCTCATCCACCATGCAGTCGTTGATCTTATCCAGCACATCAAACCTTGGATGGCGGATACACCTGGCAACCCTGACATCCACCGAGCACATCTCAAGCCATGGATTTCATGGATCTGGACACTGGTGACTTCTGCCGGACTAGCACCAAAGGATCCAAACAGTATCAAAGAAGTGAAACGAGACTACACCATATCACTTAGATTCACTTAGTATCATCACATTTCCAACAGCTTCAGGGTCATTCCGTCATTCCTTTTTTCTCCTTCAGGCCCTGCATCCGATTGTGTCCCTCACATTTTCCTCCTCGCTGCTGACCCTTGGGCTTGGATGTCCTTGGCCCATCGGCATGTCCACGATGCGCTGAGGCATCTGGAAGACTGATGGTCTCGACTGCCCGGCTGCCCTGACTTCTTGATCTTGTACGGCGCCGTAGCTCTCGGCATCCATGGAGCTCCACATCAGCTTGAACAACATCCTGGCAGGTCAGCAGGGGAAACCTGCGACTGGAAAGAGGGATGTGGCATAGGACAGGATGTGGCAATTCAAGTCCCAACGCGCGCGAAAAACTTGATGCTAATCAACCACCAAGCTTTGCCAAGGGCCGCACCTCAAGTCAAAGCTCGGTGGTTAAACCAGCGATCAAGCCATTCCTCGCATGTGGGGCCCACGTGCAGAACCCTGGGCTTGGGTGACTTGTTTATTGAAAACCAATCGGATGGAATATGAATGGATTTTCTCCACTGTCATTTTGACCCATCTTGTCCATCCAAAGTCTGTGTTCCTTGCCATGCACTCAGTCACTTTACAGTCCTTGTCAGCTTTGCGTCCCAACTCCTGTTCCAAGCTCCAGCGCCGAGCGAACTCCTGGGTACACAGGTCCCCTAGGATGCTGCTTCCGGATTCATAAAAACCCTTGGTGGAGTGGTTACCTCCAAAAAGCGACCATCTATGGTAACATCTATGGTAGCCATCCAGGCTTGACATTAGAAATGTGGATTGTTTCGATCGTTTCAGGCCCCACAGCAACCGAGTCCTCAAAAAGGCCTTGGACGTCACGACCCGTGAACTTCCAGTTGTACAAAGCTTCTCCAGCGGTGCCGGCTTCACCTGGCACCGCTCCAGTGGTGAGTCACAACCAACGAATGATTTGGGTAGTCATGGATAGAAACTGACTATGCTGAGTAATACTGATTAATAAAAATTTTACAATTATATATATATAGATGTATACATAAGATGTGAAACAGTCAATTGGACAGTTGAAGACCAAAATGTGGTCAAAACTTCAACCTATGGCCACTCCGCTCGTCACGCCTTTCTCTTTCAAGAGCTGAGATAGGCGCTCGCCAGCCACTGGCTCCAGCCGCCCAACACGGTCTTGCACCTCACAGGGTGTCCAAAAAAACCTAAAAAAATGTCTAATATGTCTGTCAATTTCAGGGGATCATCATTCCAAGTAGGAAAGTCAACAAATACCTCACACCACCCGAAGAGACTGTGGGATGCAATCCCCAAAAAAAAAAACAGTAGTTCGCCCCACACAATATCGAGATTTTGCCACTAGGTGGGGATATCATCACTAGACACTTGGATTTCGCAGCTGGGTTTTTGGGGTTTTTGGGGTACCTGCTGTTCCAGCAGCTGCGCGTCGGGCCGGCCGAACTCGATGCGCAAAGGCACCCGGCTCAAGATTGCAGGATCCAGGTCCTGCCGGCCACGAACAGAATGGGAGATGATAAGCCCAAGAATGTTAGTAAAGCAATAGTAAACCAACCCCAAATTTACCGCAAAAGGGTAGTATAAACCATCAAAATAGATCAAAATATATGGTTCATGTACCTTGCTAAGATTAGCAAACCAGCCCCAATAGATGTCCCAATATCCCTAGACCGTCCCCAAATGGTCGGTTTATTGTTGAGCGATAGACTTCACTGGGATCAATGCCAAGCCCAGGATGCACTAGTCCCGTGGGCCACTTCGCTCCTGCACGCGGTTGGTGGCCAAAATCAGCTGGAAACGTGAACTGCTTGAGCCCGTCTGGGCCAGGAAAAACGACCTCGGATGTTTCTATCGGCAGAACAAGGGAAAAACAAAACAACCAGAACTGCAGTTCAACCGCAGAAACTCGTTTCAAAGCTTTCAAACCAGCTCTTGGCCTCTTGGCTTCGCACAAGGCAGCTTGGACATAGGCATTGCTCTGGTTGCTCCGGGAGCACAGGAAGGCTTCTGCCTCATCAATAAAGATCAGCAAGCCACGAAGCGACCTGGAGACGTGGCACAGCGTGGCAGCAAAATCATCATCTCATTGGATCAAACTTTCTTGCAGTAAACTTAGTAAACCCTGACCCGTCCCCACATCCCCATGTTTGAACCCTTTTTTTGATATTTTCTGTGGATTTGTCTGCAAATAGTGCATCTCCAAAATCTACGTGTTGATCATCATTTTCCTCATCTTTTTCATCACCACTTTTGGGGTGTAGCCGCTTTTCAGACAAACTCTTGTTGGTTCCACTCCCTATCTTTGTTGGTTCAGGCACCCACCAGGTTCAGCATCCCAACCTCCGAGCCCAGGCAAAGACCCTGCGGAGCTCAGGAACTGCTTCTTCCTTCAGCCCCAGGATGTTGCCGCCGGAGAGGATGGCGTAGTCCTGGAGTGGGGCCCAGCTCACGTAGCCATGGTGTTTCGTGACCCATTTAGAGACGAAGTTTTTACGTCTCAAAAATGGAGATTTTCACCAATCCTACCACCCCAAAGAAACGGGTGGTCTCGCAACAAAAATGACCTAGTTTGTGGTTCTCATGGATACCCTCAGGATCTGACCCATACCCAAGAGGTTCCCATTTTGTCTTCACATCAAAATAGCTGCTACTCACACAAATGTATCCTCCTCATATTGAGTTCTTCTGTTTTGACAAATCTCCAAGATCTCTATGATGGCTGGGTCCCAATTCTTTGTTTCACAAACCCTTAACCCCCATGTTTTTCTCGTGGAACCCCCAGTCCATACCGCAGCATTCGGCCAGACGCCGCGCCGTTAGGGACTTGCCGGTGCCCGGAGGCCCGAAGAAAACAGCGTTGGGCAGGGCCATGCCGCGGCGACTGGCCATCAGTGGCTTGAGTTTCACGGTAAAACCTACAGAAAAGCAGGGTTAGCTTGAGAAAAACTAATCTAGGCTTTTCTCGTGGATTTTCCCGACCAATTCTGGGGTGGGGATGATCCAAACCATTTTTAGTAAACCAACCCATTTCTGGGATGATTACTGGTTCCAACCCAATTTTGCTGGTTCCCCTCCCCAAAGCTCGCCCCGCTAGCTTCGCCTTCGCTTCATCGCCACCAGGGCCATATCCTCCACGCTGTGGCGAATCTCCTCACGTAGTACCACCTGGCGCCCAGGGCGGCAAAGGTGGGATGCAAAGAAAGGGATGGTCTGGTCATGTTTCAACATGTTCCATATTTCGTATGTGCCATGGTAAAGTTGCATGGAGTTGCTGCTGTTTTTTTGTGGTCATCCAATCATCCTCAGAAATGTCCGAGAAAATGAGGCAAATGAACCCCGATTGATGACCATCCTCCACATTTTTTTCGGATCCATGGAACGATCAATGGGACACATACCTTTGAAAGATCTTAATCCCCTGCCTTGGGACGATCCATGCGATGAGCATCGCCAGCGAAGACCTCGCAGATGGACGGCAAGGCCTGGGCGGAAGAAATGGAAAAGGCATGAAAATGATCAAAATTGCCATGTTTTTTTTTGAAGGGAAATGTTGGCAGCTCTCATGTTTCGGTCATATTCAATGTGTTCCGTGATCTTCAATCCATCTCCACTCACCATCTTTGATTGATCCCTTCGCTTTGGAGCTCCCCTTCCTAGTTCCATTTTGCTCTTTTTCAAATCAACACCCCTGCCCAGATCCACTCACCCACTCAGTACCTGGCCTTGGGTCGTCTCAACCATGACACAGAGGTCTCATCCACCAAGGTCGGAATCTTCAAGCGTCGCTTCCTTTGCTCAAGGCTTCTATGGCACCAACAAAAACGTCTGGTTTCCTGAGTTTCCCCAAGAGCACAAGGCATTAGTGTCTGACTCCTGTTGGGATCTCCCCCCATTAATCTTGACCTGGTAGGGTGAACCTTCAGCCAGAGCATCATGAAGTGGTACAGCAAGGCCAAGCCAAACAGGGCAGCACCTCAGGCAGACAACAGCCCCAAATTATCCGATTGTAGTCCAATGAATCCAAACTAGGATTGACATAATCCTAAATTTTATCAACACACCTAGTTTGAATCCATTGATCAACTCATAAACCATCCACCAATATCAACCACGAAAAAGCATTTCTGTGAGGTTGAAGCATTTCTGTCGGTGCCCCAATGACTTGACCCAGACCGATTTGGGGAGGTATACCAGCCCAAAATCCACTCATTACTCACCACATTCTTGATCCGCTATAAATTGGGGCCCTCATTTTCCAGACTGCAACCCATCTCATGTTGGTTGTATCCAAAAAAAAACAAGTGTTCTCTCCATTTTTGGCACCGGAGAAATTCCATTGGGCTTTCCCCGGTTTCCCCGTGGGATCCCACCAGTCACCAGGGCGTCCAAGCGGCACACGGCCAGGAACACGGCCGCACGGTAGGGCAGGGCTCGATCAAAGTCCTGGGCCATCGCCTCGTAGAGCTCGATCCAACCGCGCACCCTGGGTGTCCCAAGGTCGGGCTCCAAGGCTATGGAAATGGCGGAACCCAAGGCTCCAAGGCTATGGAAATCTGGGGATATGGACGGTTTTGGACGGTTTTGGCTAGTTGAAGTCTGGAAAATGGGGGCCTCCCAATTCATGGCAGTGTCGACGGAATATGATGATTCACCAGTGGATTTTCGCGACCAACAAACACCAGAAAACAAAGCAAAACGAGAGTTGAAGGGCCTAAATATATGGCTGTGATTGTAAACAATGTAGGGATGTGACTGGTTCGAAACGCTCAAAGCACCTCAACTCACATTGATCGGGTCCAGATCACCAAAATCAGCGGTCTTTAGCCAGATTCCCTGTAGGCACATGGTCTGCATGGTGCGCCTGATCGTTTCCAAGCTTTGTGGAATGCCACGATCGATTCGGAGCTGCTCCTGGCGAAAATCAACCCCAAAAGTGGATCTACCAAGAAAAACAAAGATCTCCTACCTGTCCTACCTTTGCCTGTACATCGAAGTAGGGGCCGGTCGGCATACCCTTTATCATTGACTTCACTTGCTGACTCAATAGGCTGTCAACCCATCTAATATACTCCACAAACCAATGGCATTAACCAATAGATTAAGGACATCCATGCCCAACTGGGCGTTGATTCCCAGTGGTTCGCCCCTCTACTAGTCAACCAACCAGTCGGAACATGTGCATGTTTGGTTTACTATGTATATATGTGTATGCACATATATGGCCATATTATATATATATATATCATGTATACCAAAGGCAATAAACAAGTGGAAATAAACAAGATTTAGTATGTGTATGTATATGTCATAATCCATGGTTCTTAGATATAATCACATAATCGTTCACAAACTAAAATTGACAACCAACCAGCAAAATCCAACTTACTAATAACTAAGAACTATATTCTATCAAAAGTTTATATCAAAAAAAAACATTGGCTATGGATGGCCTTCAACCAAACCCATATAATCCCCATAGACAAAGGGTACAACCGGCGCCCCGGCGCCTGCACTTTGGCCTTCTCACTTTCCATCTGAACCAAGGTCTCGCTGTCGAGGTGCTGCACGATGCCGGCCGCCAGCAGCTGTGGAGCCAAGCGGGACCAGAAGTCCTGTGCACAGATGGAAAAGGAAAAAAAAATCGGGAAAGTTCTACTGATATCTACTGATAATGTGAGAATATGGTGAGAAATTGCTTTTCTATTTTTTGGGGCGGTTCGTATGGGTGTGTATCGCATGAATGCACTGGAACATATTCGAGTGGAACTACCTGAATCTTGGAAGGTCTGTGATCTACTGACGACCTGATAACCAGCAAAGACTGTCTTGCCAGCAAGTTCCAAAGCCAAAATACCGGCACCCACATTAGTGGTTCCAAGTTCCAAACCATATTTTCAGTTTCTAAGATCAAATCATCAATCAACACCCTGGTTGAGTACTGGATCAATTCATCTTGCTTTCCCATATTCAGCCATGTTGGTAGGACATCTTGAGAACCATCGGACGCCACGCCCCGCCTGCTTCGTAAGCTCCTCTGCCAGGCGCTCCACAGCAAAGTCAGCCAGCGCCTGACCTTTCTCCAGCTGCCGCAGGAGGATCTCCTTCGCTACGTCGCACGTTGTTGCACCAAACTGGGAGATGCCAGGAAATCTGCCAGAGTCTAGGACAAGAATATTTGGTGTTGTCAAAAGTGTTCAAAAAAATGTGCGCAGAAGAACTGAAGAAGTCTGTGAGTCCAAACAAATCTCAAGATGTCATATTTCAATAAATATCAATAAATCCTGTGGGGTGCGTGCGGCTCCTCCAAGCTGCTTGTGTGGTTTTGCTCCAACATCCGGATCACATCCCTGGGTAGCACGGTAGGCATTCAACCCCCAGAGTTGGAGGTTCCATGATATTCCACTGGCCATCACTGGCCTACCACCAACCATCTCAACATCATGGCATCATGGCCAATGGGAATCATGGCATCTCTCACCATCGTGCTCCACCATGACTTCACGTTTTGAGTTCACGTCATGTTTTGAGAAACTCATCGAATTTCACCAAGAAAGGTGGATCTTACCCAAAAACTGGAATTGAAATGGATTGAAGTCACCAAGTTTTGGGGAGTTTGACTAAACTGACAAAACTAAAATCCCAAAAAACAAATGCGAATTCAGTCGACGACCCCAGAGAGCCCCGCCTCACCTCCTGCACCTTCGCATCCATCCGGCTGAAGTTCTTCAGTGTGGCCATAGCCTTGCTGAGCCTTGGGGCATTCATTTTGTTCCCATTGGATCTAAGTCTGGTAGGACCCCAACATTACATAACATTACTGTGTGAAAAATGTGGATTCAACCTGACCTTGTTGTCAACAATCCATTTTTAACATCCCATCCCCATGTTTATTCAATGTTTTTCTGCAACTCCTGGCTCTTTCAATGGAGAACTCTCACGACTTGTCGTCGCGCCTGCCACCAGAGATTTCGGCATCGCCCAGCAGTTGCTCCTTGATCTCCCGCCACTCCGCCTGGCAGGAGGATCTCCTGTTAACAAAGGCAGAGCATGGCAGAGCAATGAATGGAACCAAACAGCCCAAAACTGCTCATTGATTTCCTTCATTCAAGTTGATCCCGTAAAATTGGGCCATATTGGGCCCAAATGAAGAACATGCGCCCCAAAATGGGGGGTTCCCAAACAACCTCCTGATCTCAGTGATCTCAGTGTCAAGGCACCTTCAACAACTCCAACTCAAGGGCATCCACCGTTTGCGACAAGGTGGCTGTGGTGTTGCCACCTGGAGGTCAGCTGATATCAGCTGATGCTTGTCAAGCCAATGAAGACAATAAAGGTGCAAAGGTCATGACCTCTACATATGGCTATGAGTCATAACCCTGGTACCTAGTGAACCACAAAACAGCTGGTAAATGGATGTTCATCCCACTAAAAATGGTAAAAATAGGTATTGATCCATACCCATATCTGCAAGTCTCCAACAAAAAGTGGATACTGCTTCAGACCAAAACTTGCGGGCGACTTGTGGGGTTTTGAGTTTTGACCCATCATCGTAGATCAACCTGTCCACCACGTTTTCCAAACCTCTGCTAACATTGCTGCCGAAGCGCTGCTGATGATGTTCAATTGCAGACCCTCCAAGAGCTGTCCCAGTAGGTAGACCAACAAGGCTGCCAGGGTTCAACATGTCTGCTGGGTTTGAGCAGTGTGCTGGGGATTTGATCCATGTCCCGGTGGCCATGTCCATGCCTTAAAGCAAAATGGGTCAGCGTCACACCCCAGATCCAGCTGCCTATGCCAAGGACCACGGCTGGGATCCATAGATTTTGAGTCAGTGACGCCAATAACCAGAGTGTCGGCAGCAACACCACTACCTCGGCTGCAATTCAGACCCTTTAGGCGGGGTCCGGTTGGGAAGTTATCCTCAGGCAAAGTTTGGTGGTTGGGGGTACCAGTGAATGGACCTATCTCCCTTCCCGACCGAGTGGCCCCAAGAATCACATAAGCCGCACTCCACATCGAGTAGCAGATTACCAACCTGCCAAAGCTGGAGACACTTCTCAACTTGTCGGATAGCGTATCCAGCCACAATGATCATCCTTTGGCATCATCGGGAATGTGACCGCTGCACTTTTTTCCACACCTTCGGACCACTCACGCCAGCAGCACCAAACCAGCATGACAACCAAATAGCGGCATAGCAGCAGTTGTCTGTGGCAACAATGTCTTCTACTGCCATGTGTCCTGATGAATCCTTCCGTTGGGCCCGTTGGGTCTTTGGCACTGATCTCTGCGCCCTTTCCATCTGAGTTGTGCAACTGTGATGTTTCTGAATCAGGAGAGATCAACACCAGGTGTGAACACATTGACCCAATATGGCTATGGATCAAAACCCACCCTTCAGTTCCCCAAAAATGAGCTATAGCTTCATACCCTCCCCGTGGCATTGGTACTGACCCATCCACCATTTCTCATGGTTGAATCCCATGTTTGTTAATTGCAGGAACCACCTTGCTGGTGTGAGAAAAGTACACCTTGTTGATGGCCAAATCATGCGAAATCCACCTACGACCCAGCGGCTGGGCGCCAGACCCCTCAGCAACCCGCCTTGGCACTTGGCAAGAATAGATGGATCAACCCTGCATTTTACCTGCTAAGAAAATGTGCGTGAATGGTTGTTCATGGTTGTTAAATGGATGCTAATGGATGTTAATGGAAAGTAACAACTGATGGAAGCTGATGGGCCAAGAAAATGCGCTGCCTTCACTGAATCACTGGTCGCGGATCTCCTTGCTCATTTTTTGGCCGAGAATGTTGCTGCGTTGCGAAAAGCGAGGTTCTCACCAGTACCCTTTTACGCCACCCATCTGCCGGAAAACATCAGCCCAATCCCACACATCAGGGGATTTTGCCTTTGCTTTCTTTGCACTTCTCTTTGCAGGCGCAGACGATTCCTTTCCTGGTGACATGGTGTCTGACCGGCTCGCCCTTCTCTTTGTCACAGGCACAGGCTTTGTTGGAGGCTCTGGCCACAAGGGGTCCTGGGTTGATGAAGGTTGCAGTGACCCAGCTTCTGGAGACGTTGGCAATGTCGATGTTGGCAAGAGCGTAGGGTCCGAAGAGATTTCACGTGCCGCTGAATGATGAAATCTATCTGCCAAGGCTGGGACTGCCAGACACAGCAGAAAGGCCCATGGCATTCTGCAATTGGAACTATCAATTTCTCAAACTAGCAAACGCTGGAGCCAAAGTATTTATGTCACTTGTTGGAATGAGGCAATAGTACACAATAAGAGGCATGCATGACAGCATAACTGCTTTCACAACTTGCGAACACTCAGAAACTGGAAATAAACAGCATCCTCTGCTGAAAAAGTCGTGCTCTCTCATTCTCTGCACGTCATGACTACACATTCTACACTGAGGTGATGTCCCAAAGATTGTGTGCTTCTCATCCAATTGCTCCACCGTCTTTCGAAGCGTGATCTCGGTTCTTGCACCATAGGTCACAAAACCCAAACATCCATCTGAAGCGCTTGGTTGAAGGAAAAACTACAGGAAAGCCATTTGCTAGCGAACTACACGAGTTCAGGTAAGTTCTCCTTCATCCAACTATTGCAAGCTGACCGGACTGTCCGTTTGTCCGAAAAAGGCAAAGCTTCGTTTCTTCCAGAGTTCACACCCTTCTGACAACAACAGGATCGATTCTCCTATTTGACACCTAGTATTTCAGAAGTAGCTATAGAGTGAACGTTCAAATGGGATAGTCTCTATTCCAACCACCATTTCTTTACTGTCATCCCGTTATATCCAATATATATATATATATATCCATAGGCTCATGGCATAGAACTGCGAAGCATTTTCATTTGGCTTCTCCTTGGAACAATGTCTGCTGCCGCTGCGAACACTCAACACGACTTTGATTAAGTGACAGGCCATTTACTACAGAAGGACTTCTAACACAAGCAAGTTTCAACAGCTAGAGGGAACTACAACATCCATCGTCAGAGGACCAACAAACAGTGCTTTTTTTCTGAGGCCAATGGCATTTGCCATGCCCACAGTCCCACGCACCTGAAAGCGAAGCAATAGCCACCGAATCAACTGAAAGGGGGAGAACTTTGAATTTTTCAAATTGAAAATGCTGAGTTTGTCTCACCAATCCGACTGCAAAGTTGAGGCAAAAGACAACAGGATCTCTTGTTTTGCACCATCTTTTCTATTTCAACATCTGTTGGGCCCAACTGTGCCTGCAGCTTAAGTCATGTCAACTTCTGCGGTAAATCCAATGCCATTAACCGCACCATCCCTAATAGCCTACTGGCCCCATCAACAGAAATGGCTGGGATTCCAACCCTGCTGAGCCGCCCCACGCTGTGCTTCAGTGCAGGATGTATCTCATCCTTGAAGTAGCGATGACCCAAGCCCGGCAGCTTCGCATGAACACAGCAACCGCCTCACCGGACAGGATCCCAACGTCACCTGATGTGTTTTAGCCATGGGTCAAGTCAGATCCAGGAAACATATGGGTATGGATCAATACCTATTAATACCATTTTTAGGGGGATGAACATCCGTTTACCAGCTATTTTGATGTTCACCAGGGGTACAAGGTTTTGACACACTGCCATATGTTTATGCTTCTTTTATCAAACGATTCTGAAATTTTGAGAAGGGATAAAATATGATTCTGAAAGGAGTCTGACATCATCCCATCCCTCTGGCTCTGGCAACGGTCAACCCTCCAGCCTCGTCCCGTGTTGGTGGGGTCACCTGTTCGAGCAATGTAATCCTTCTCGACCTGCGGACCATGGTGGACAGGATCTTAAAACAAGAAACGCCACAAAACTCATGTGGAAAATCAAGAAATGGTTTTGGAAATCCTTCGGAATATCATTTTCCTATGGTTGGCGATGTGCGAGTTCTATGTTAGTCTTGAATGACAATATCCCTGAGCCATCCACTTTATTTTGGTGGATGAGATCCTTTTTGTTTTAATTGCGGTGTGCTGGTTGCCTGTTAACGACATCTCGCTTTCGAGTCTCTTAACATCAACTACCCAAGGGCTTCTAGTGATTCCTCTCAATGATGCCCCACAACATTCTGCAAACAGCTCCAACATGCCCATGACCCCACAGACAGGAAGAGGCAGTTGTTGTAGTACTTCATCTTGCAGAGCCTAGGAGCCGAGACTGAGCAAGTGACAACATGTGTCTCAAAATGGGGCATAACCCCAATAGGGCTATTTGAATGGGCAATATGATAAGTAACCAGTGGGTAGACCACACTTTTCGACAAACTCACATTGAAGAAATATTTGTTGATGCAAATTTACTTGACAAAGCAGACAGGATGGATCTGGTTTCCTTTGCGGTTCTACCACATACTCCATGAACGTCCCACGGCAATAAAACCCCGGCCCGAGAACCATGAGCTGCTGGTCACACTTAGCATGGGCATGTGTCAGTGTACACTTTTATATAGGTATGAATATGTTCAAAGCTGCTAATGCCATGCCAGCGGTACAAGCAAACCCAGCAAGAATATGTTTGCCTCACACATGTGATGCATGAAAACATCAGCCCAAACAGAAATCTCCCTCCACTAGTGCTGGGCAGCGCTGCTTCAGAAAGTTGAGACACGTCCGTGGAGCATGATCTACCTCTCCGCCCGTGGCAGCAGTGGCCCATACTAATTCTTAGACCTTCATGGACCCTCAAAATATATTGGTCATTCGTAGGATGAAACCATCCTATTTGCGGGCCGGATCGTTTTGAACCGTACCCACTCTACAATACTTCCAACACTTCTCCCAAGAATCTACAGTACTTGAAGCCATTTCCAAAGCCTCGCTGCCGACTGTGCCTTCAGATCGATCACCAGGTCGCCCAGGTTGGTTTCAATCAACACCGCCATGGGTTTTTTTTTGGGGCTTCACTGGAGATAGAACAACTTGGGGCTTTGCCAAGACCTATATGTCAGCTTACAGGAGTACTTTCAAGTGCTGCTTGATATGTTGGATCTTGCAACATTTCTGGCAGTCCTCATTGTCCTAAGTGCTGGCTCTACCATTTCAGTTCTGGGACCTGCTTCGCAAGTGAAGCAATGCTCAACTTGTGATCAACGTGGATGTTGCACAGTCCAACGCCCAGCCTGTCTGAATCCAAACCCTTGTGCACTTGTGACGAAGGTGTTTAGCTGCCTGTCATTGAGGTTGAATTCATGTCGCAAGTCTCTGTTGTAGCAAATCGTTCGCTCACAGGTCGTTCCCTTCCGGGCCCGCGATTCATGATTCTTCTGCCTTGTAGCCATAAGCTGAGCAAATGGGGCGGCCAAGCACAATCATGACCAACGAAAAATCTGCTTGCACTTCCCCAGCTCATCGCACAGCACCGATGCAAAATCTCAAACCATACCGTGCTATCAGAGCTACAAGCTTTTTTCGGATAGATCAAAGGAGGTCAATCTTCAAGTACTCCTGGGATTGTGTTTTTTTGGGGTTTCCTTTCAGATGGGGGTACCCATTTTTAATCCATTTCAAGAGGATTTTCCCTTATAAACAGTGAAAAAAACCATGAATTTTGGGGTACTTCCATGTATGGAAACCCCCATGTGGTGGCCACGGTTCCGACGAGCCTCTCGGGAGGAGCGGGTGCGCGCGGTGCGCGGTCAGGAGTCTGCAGTCAATTTTAGTGGTGGGATAAAAAAGGCAGGATCTGAATACAACTTGGGTCCAGTTCTAGATAAGGGTACAACTCACTGAAGGTTTCATTAAGCTATCTATAGATATATATAATATATATATATATATACATTGTACATAATATATGTGTGATTATGTGTGTATACTACATATCATACATGTTGGGTCATCGCTGTGTTCAGAAAAACAAAAAACATAGCAACTGAGCCATCCAGCCGCAGGGCTGGTCTCTCGCATTGCGAGGGACCTAATTTCCAGCACTATGCACGAGAATGAAAAACCGTCAGGCATGGCCCATTCTTAGTGGTCCCTGGTGGTCCCTCCAAAATCTCCAATTCTCCAGAACAAGAAGAAAACGCAGTGCAAAAGTAGAGACACAGTTTGAATTCAGAGTAGAAAAAAATGCACTGTTTGATGAACCGATGAACCAACTCCTCCACTGAACTGCTATCCATTGAGGCCGAGTCCACCAGCTTACGATGACCAGGAAGAGCATCTGGGGGATGTCGGGGCTGTCGGCTGTCCCCTCCCTAATAAATACCCCCTCAAGAAAAACTGGTTGTGTATTGGATCTATTCATTTCAGGGTCCCTCATTTCGATGTTATTTGATGTTATTTGATGTTATTTGATGTTATTTGATGTTGATGTTAGGGGATGGGGTACTGCCAAAACAGCAGCCAATGTCAGGCGAAGTGCTGGAGGATTACGGCTGAGTGCCCGTTCGTCTTTGGTTGGTAGGGGTTCCCAGATTATAATTTTGGTGGCTGGTAATCTTTCTTACAGATATACTGGATAAACATATAAACATTATATATGTATACATATGTGTATGTATGTATAAAATTGAGTGTTCCTGTGGAGTAACGACAACCCCATTGAACCGCAGCAGACAACCCCATTGAACCACTTCTCCCCGGACCGTTCGGTGACCAAGGCTCGCACGACAACGGCCAGAAGGCCAAGCGTTATCCACCTGATCAGTTTGCGAACTGGAACAATCACCATTTTGAATATTAAGATCAACTTCAATCAACTTTATTATTAGTAACTATATATCGCTATTTTCAATAGCTATGTTGAATTAGAGAGGATTAATTTTAATGGCCCGCATTATCCCCTAAGCTTCCATAATGGATTAGAATGGCCAATGTTTATCACTTTTTGGCAATTTGAAACAAATAATAATGATGTCTTGTATGGGTATGGAGCAAGTCATTGTACCATTGTATCCCAAAATGGGATCTTCTACAACCCTTAAATACTGACCTGGGCCGAAGCAAATATGACTCATACAGTAAGTGCGGGAAATGGCTGAGACAAGCAAAAGTTGATGGAAATTCATGAAAGTTGATGCAAGTTGATCTCAAACAAAATGGATGGTTCAGTAAATGATATTCAACATACAAAAAAATGACATAAAATGGAAAAAATACCAATTCTGTGGGTCCATTAGCAATGACTCGATTCTGCAATCCTGCTGAGTTTCCGGCGGCGTAGAGATCATGGCCTGCCACCATCGGAGATGTATGTGTGTGTGTGTACATAATATAATATATATATATACATATACATATATATATATAGTTATATATATATATATGCGGAAGATCTTGAGGGGTGACCACGGCCATATCTTTTCATTTTATTCTTTTTATTCTATTTGTTCCATTTATTCCATTTACTCCATGTATTTCGTTTATTCCACTTATCCAATTATATATATATATATAGAAATGTAAATAGATCTTCATCCCCCAAATTCGCATGCTGTTACGTAGATACTGTGAATTTTGGCCCATCCAAATGTTTCCCTGAAAACATCACTGGCACCTTCAAAGTGCTTCCCATTGTTTGCATCACCGATGATGCCACCTGCGGCAGCAAAATCTCACGTCTTTTTTTTCAACAGATTCATAAATCCAACAGTTGATGAAAATTGGGGGTGCCCCCCAGTGTGATCTGCTAAAATGCTACCCCAAATGATCAACAAGCCAGATTTTCAGGCCCGACTCTTCCACAAGTCCTGGCCTCGCTGAGTGCGCTTTGTCCCTCAACGTAGTGCCTACATTGTGTGTCAAGCACCAGTTGTGGGGCTGCTCCCTGTTGGGAAATACATGTTGTATATCATGTATATCAAACCAAGACCGATGGCAAAGCATTGCTTGTTAAAATGTCCGTACCCTGCACTATTCACCTCCCCCATAAATGGCATAATCTTTGAAATAAATACTGCCACCAAATCCGATAATTAAAAGAATCAGCAGAAGTCGTTTGTCTCCACAGTTCTCGGCTTCCCCACAATTGGTTCCCACCTGCAGGGCTTGAGTCCAGCTGTGGGAATGCCGCGGGTGTTTTGGTGAAAGAAAAACTGCTACTTACTGTACATTACATCAGAATAACAAGGTGTATTCTTATTCACGGTAATATCATGTTTGCCCATACAGTATCTTCTATTTAGGTCATGTATATTGTCATATCTCCGTGCAAACGACATACAGAGATGAACAAGGCAAGAATTTATACTCTCTTGGCATTATAAGGAGTGACTAAACCCCAAAACTCAACCCGCCCCAACCACTGGGTTTTGACCCTGCGAAGCACACCTCGAAGGAGGGTCGTGGCTGAAGCTTCAAACATCGCATAGATCATGGACAACACCAACAAACTGCAGCACGATCGGAGATGCCGGGTGTAAATGTTTGAGATTCTGGGAGCTGTCTCGGGCCAATGTAATGTCAAAATAAACCATAGGGACTCCCCAAATAGTTATACCCAGTAACATCATGTAACATCTTATAATCTAATTTATGAATCCAGGGCTGACATCATTTTTTTCTCCGCTGTGTTTCGCCGCGCGAGATCCGGCGGAGAGTCCTACTGCATCGCGTCGTGAGGTGCTTCGCCTCCTGTAGAGCCACAAATGGGTTGCGGATGGGGAGATGATTTTAAGAGAATACCATCTACAACTTATTAGATTCATTAGTATTGCATATTCTAGCTGTATTATAGGGGTATAGTCCAGTAGTTGCAAAGGTATAAGCTAGAGGTGAAATATTTCAAGAATCCCACTTGTAGCTCAGCCTCGTGACCTTCCCCAGATCCTAGTTTTTGAAACCCACAGCTCCTTCCATCACCAGCTGCACCACCTCTTCCGCCAAACTCATGGCTGAGGTGAGGCCAGGACTTTCGATGCCAAACAGATTCACCAACCTTAAGGGAACTCTCCGTGTCTCCAAGTGGCAAGGGATACCAAGTGACAGGAAACCAAGAGGTTGGCCAACAGGGTTCTTCACATTTGTCCCCTCATTTCTGGACAACAACAGCAAATGTGTGTCTTTCCATTGCTTCCAGTGACTGAAAAGAAGTCTGGCTGTTTTCGCAAGCGTGGCTTCCTTTCAGTTTGATGTTGTCAACATCTCAGGGTCTGGCTTTCCATAACTAGCCACTTGAAAATCGGCAGCTGGCTCTCCTGGCGGCATCATTGACCCCCGCTTTTGTGGCTGGCCAAACACGGAGCGGTCCTGGCGCCGAGAGCTTTGGGCGCACTCCAGAGTAGTCAGCAACTAATGCGCCATCTGGCAGCTTGGGCCAGTAGCGACGCACCTGCAGTTGGCACATGGGCGGGGCACCCAGCATCACAGGTCCCTTTTTCGCGAGTCTGACAGCTCGCAGATGGAACAACTTGAAAGAAGATGGTTAATGGGCCAGACCCCACCTCAGAGTAGAAGGCCTCGCTCTTCTTGTCATCCACTTGATAGGCAGCAGCTTGGTGGGAGCCATATGCCGCCTCAAGAATCCAATGCTATGATTGAAACTATACACAAGTTAACAACCATCATTTCAAGCAGCTATGAAATGATGAAGCAATCTGAAGCATGTCGAAGATGGATCAACCTTTTCAATCTGATCGCACAGATATCATCACAAACGTGATGTAGTTTGAGGTCCCAGGATTGTTGATCACTTTGATCCCAACAGAGTCTGATTTGCAAAGTTGCCTCGTCCACCTCTAGTCCAGGCAAAATCTCCGGTGGCAACCACTCCACGTCAGGGCCAAAGCGCACCTGCCCTAAGCCGCGGGGAAGCTGGGCCAGCTCATTCGGAGAACCCACTAATGTCTACCCTTCATAGTGGCCCACTAATGACATCATTGGTGCTCACACGTTAGTGTCAAACACAGCTGTGATCTGGGTTGGTCAACCCCAAATTTCCAAAATTTGATGATCATATTCCATCATATTCCCCCCACTCAATGGCCATGGATCGTAACTCGTGAAAATCCCCATCCTCAAACCCACCCGGCCGCCTTGAAGGTCCACGGTGGCATGCACGCCCAAGCCGCTGGTTTGCGGCTCTGGCACTGGGTAGACCAACCTGGAAAAGGGTCTTAGGCCGCCTGACAGCCGCAGATCATGCTGGTTGCAGTAGATCTCCACATGATATCGCCATTCTGGGCACTTTAACCCGCAAATCAGGTACATTGATGGATCCTCAAATATAAATCTTCCAAAAACACGGAATTCTCATGGGGGGTCAATCGAAAAAAAGGGATGAAACATCCCTTCGGCCCTTCGAGCGAGCCATACCCAGTTTTTTTTTGCGAATTTCCCCCATTTTTCAGCGGCACTGCGGCACCTTGCAGGGCATAGTAGCTGCCACGGCAGTAGAAGGCTTTGGGCACCGGCTCCATCCCCAGGGACCGCGCCACCCGCGGTGCCGCGAGGCCACAGCAATTCACCACTGCCTGCGCCTGATCTCATGGGATTTCTTAGGGATGATTGGGGACTTTTTGTTGGGGTAAGGGATGTTAGGGGTAGAGAAACACGTTTAACATCGTTTGACCAACAAAAATGGTGATTGAATGGGTATTTCACGGGAATATAACAACCTGTATCCAATTTGGGAGGTTGCAGATGATTAACCATCAAATTTGGGGGTATCCCATGTTCAAACAAACCTAAATTCCTAAATCAATCCAACCAGTTGGTACAGTAAATTGATTCCATCAATCAGTTGGTATTTCATGATTTGAAATGGGGCTATCATCAAGAAATCAACAATGGTCAACCAAACCGAGAAATCCATCAACCAGTCAAAGCCAATCAAAGCCCATCAAAGCCAATAACCAATAACAACCAATCAAAGAATCAATTAAATGCATCCAAATCCAAACAACTACAGTAATCAAACTCAAGCAAAACCAAGCAAGCAACCATCGAATCATCGATCGAACATGAGCAAACACCTGCTTTTAAAGTCGAATTGTTGTCAACATCTGTCAACATCTGGGTAGAGGGTTTTCTCAAAACCAAAGCACCACGAACACTTGTCACCAGTGTCCTCTACCGTAAAGACATCAGCGGAATCCACAGATTCAAGCTCCACCATCACACCTGCCAGCACCATCTGCGGTGACGGTAGATTTGCTAACCAATTGGCATCATGAGATTCAGCCTCACAGTTATTGACTCTGAAGTTAGTTTCATCCAGACTTCGGGGTGAGCCTCAAGCATCCGGATGATTTTCTTAACCATTATTTGACCATCACCCATAGCCATAAATTTCTTATGGCCGCAGGCCCAGCCTTCTTGGTAGACCTGGCCACCTCGCAGCTGTGTGCGTAACGCCAAAGTGGCACCATACTCCTCGGCATCTGCCAGCAACGCCTGCAACTTGGCATGGAAAATGTCTCTGGCTGGGACAGGATAGGATACACCAGGATAGGTATACACACAGACGCACATATATATATATATATATATAATCATCCTGGAGTAGATAAAATATTGATGAATATTGATACTTCGTGAAAATATGATTGAAATGTTGAGAGTCTATCTGCTTCAGGAAGGACATACTCAGGTATTCCTATGCTAAGTTGCCCAAAAGCAAACCCCTCGTTGTGCGCCTGCATGAAAGCATGGGAGTCCACGATACCTTGATTGCTGCAGAAGGCAAAGTTTCAGGCGCCTTCCAGAGGAACTTTCGATTTAAAATGAAGACGTTGAACTTTTGAACCATATTGGAAGACATTGAGAGTTCAACTCCCGAAGTTGAGAACACATTTTAGTTGGGTAGTCCCTGAGTCTTGTTGGTCGAACAGGTCTTCTTAATTGTTGCAAACCACAATTTGTTGCCAAGCCAAAGTTTTGCCTTTCCTTGCTTTTCCTTGCCTTTTCCTTGCCTTTTCCTTGCCTTTTCCTTGCCTCTTCCCTACCCTCTCCTTACCTTCTCTTCAAGTCTTTCTCCCCTCTTCCATGCCAAGCTGCCAGTCCGGGGAGAATGCAGAGCTTCCACGCAGTAGACCTCGTGGTTTTTTTTGCGGTACAATGTGTCGATGGGGTACAATTTGTTGACAGTTGATCAATCCCTTGGCCTTCACGCTACTTAGTGGTGGAATGTATTGGATCTCTTCATGACAGGCACCTTGGGGGGTTCATGTGGCTGGGGTAGTGGCCCACCTGTCCGCCAAAGGTTGCACCCGGGTATTGAACCCGGGTCTGACACATCCCGTCTTCTCCACTAGACCATACCGGCTCTCTTGGTGGGAAGGTATTATTGTGGATCCCCTATTAATGGATGGTTGTAGTACTGATGGATTTAAAATCTATATAGTGACTGGTGGGTACAGGGTTTCTCAAGACCCTGCTTTTAGGAAATCACCCATTTTTATGTAGTGGTTAATACCTCCTTGTGGATGGTTGATGATTTGGCTTACCATGTTTTTCATTTCCATGACTTTACAAGTATAAGATGTGGGGCCAACCATGGTGGATGATGGGAAGGATGTTTTCATGAATGGGGTGTTGCCAGCATGTACTGCTTTTCGTTTAACCAACCACCCTGGTGATTGAAAACTGGCCACAGCCCTCTAGATGCACCCTTTTTTCGTCTGAGTAGGAACAAACTGGCACAAATACCTAGGTTTCCAAAGCTTCTAAGGTCAGAGTTTTGCTACCATCACTTACTTCACAAACTATGGGGAAGTAAGGTAATTTTGGGCATCAGACCAATGGTGTTCTAGTGAGGTCGTTGTGATCTCAGAGTAATGCCAGGACTCTTGGCAGTTTAACTGTGCAACAAAAAAACAAGATAGTAATATTCAGTAATGAAGTTGTATATCATATTCGTAAATATGAGCAACATCTTAAGAGTCTTAACATTTACCCATTAATTAACATCCATGAACTCTATATATACATACATATATCATTTTGACTATCTGGATAGTCTGAATGGATCGGTAGTCATCTCCAGCCTCCGGCTCCATCTGCTGCACTTGCTGCGGGCTCAAGGGCTCCAACTTCACCCCGTTGCCGGCAGCCTCATCGTCATTGGTCCGAAAACACCCGGAAAACCATTGGAAAATAAACACCTGAAGTTTTGGAATGGTCAGTCGGATTTTTATTTCATAAAACTAGTTGGTAGAAGTTTTTCCTGTCGGAAACTTTGATGATTTTGAAGCAGTGCTTATCTCTTGCTGCACACCAGTAGATCCCTTGGCTCTCAGGCGGGGTTGTAGTCCCCTCCCCGATCTCCCCGTGAGTTCGTGCCTTCATCTCCAGTGCTTTGAGCTCAGGCAGTTGTGCTTCCGAAGTCGCCACGATGAGTTTGCCACATATGCCTTGGTGCAAAACCAGCAGCCGCCAGTGGCCGCCAGTGGCCGCCAGGTGCTTTAAGAAGATCCTGAATTGCCAGCTGAACCTATCCTGAATAGCCAGGTACACAACCTGAAACCGGCAATGGTCACCAACAATGCCTCCTTCAACTGAATTCAGCTTCCAGCTACGATGTGGCACCTCTCGCTCCAAACAGAAGCGTCGTAGCATCTCTGAACCACGGAGACAGTGCTTTGCCTCGAGTCGTTGGCTGTTCTTGCTATTGGTAGCCTAGAACTGTTTTGACAGCTTGTTTGGCTCAGTTTCACCACAAACTCTACCATAGATTGTGTCAAAGGAGCCCTTCACCACCCAGAGCATCTTTCTGCCTTACGGCTGCCTTGAGGATAGTAGAGCCCGGCATGGATCACTTCGCCTTAGTCGTTCCAGTTCCAAGGACTTTGACGAACATTTTTTTATCTGGAAGTTCTTGTGCTGCTGCCTGGAACACTGGAACACATCAAATGTGAGAGACTCTGCAACGACCAAGCGGCTGTTGCGGCTGGAAGTGCCTGGCAGGGTGGAATGGGTCCTCAGGTCCTCCATCCAATGGGACTCCTTATTATGGCTATAGCGGCTATAAATCCCAGTGGATTGACGACCATCCTGCAAGAACTGCTTGGTTGACAGGGATTCCCCATGTTAATGTTTCGAACTAATCATCAACCAACCAGGGTTTAGGAGCCACTGCTCAAATGATAATCCCAATAATATTCCAATTATATTCCCATGAAATCCCATGAATCCCACTAAATCCCATCAACAATCGGGTTCCATCATTTATCACTTATATCAACTTACATCCCCATAGTTTTGATGGTTAGAATCCTATTAAAATTCATTTGTAAAAAAAACATCGAATCATGAACCAGAGTTTTTCACACTGTTCACACAAAATCCCTATGGCTGATGGGTTTTGAACCCATTAAATCCATCAAATCCCATGAAATCACCATTAAAACCCATAGCAACCACCAACCGTGCCTGCCCCAACGGCTCCACCAAGGTCGCAGAGCACCACCTCCCGGCCCAGACGCGCCAAGGCGCGGGCGCAACTCAGGCCGATCACCTCTGCCAAGAACCATCGGTTGTTTGATAGCGATATGACAATATACTTATTGTATAAATATAAATATAAATTTAAAAATATATATATGTGTGTAAATATATATATATATACATATATATATATACACATATATATATACACATATATATATACATATATATGTGTGTAAATATATATATATATATACAATATATATATATGTATATATACAATATATATATATTAATCTATATACATGAATATATGTATTTAAAAAATATTCAAATTAAATATATAGAAAATATTTTTTAAGTTATATATGTATATAAATATATAAATATATTATATTTATTTTTATTTTATTTTGATATTTTAAATATTCTACATATATAAATTCAATATATAAAATATATAAATATATTATTATTATATATGTATATATATCATGTATATAATATTACATATATATATAATATTGTATAACGGTTGAAGCGCCCTTCTTTTCTCGAAATCCCAATTGTTTCACAGGCTGCTGGTGAAAACGCAGCTGCTACCCATGCTCCACATCAAGTTGGGTGGGTCTCCATGGGCTGGGAGACCTTGAGGATCAAAACGGTTGCCATCACAGTTGTTCCGAACGGTTCAAGCGCCCTTATTTTCTCCAAATCCCAATTGTCTCACAAAAACGCAGCTGCTACCCATTTCTTCCGTTACCTCCCAAGGTCTGCTTGTATGTGGAGCTTATACCATACTTGCTTGGGCAATTTTGCAGCTTTGAATGCAGTGCGTCTGCCCAGAACTGTGGGGAAAAGCTGAGCGACTGAAAGGACCTTCTGGCGGCTAAATGTTGAAATCCGTTTCAGGCAGAGGAGTGCTGTGGTCTCCTGGACGTACACCTCCATCACCTTCATATTGAGCCAACGGTCTTTACGCCGGCAATATTCACCATTTTCAGTCATCTGCAAACGCCACGTTGCTCCCCCTGATCGGAGAGAGCCAACATCCAAGGGTTTCACACCTGCTTCGCGGGAAACGGGTAAACCAAGTTTGCCTTGTCACCAAAAGCTAAACCTGTAACTTGCAAAAGGTCAGGTATATCTAATTTCGCAGCTTGGTGGCGTGGTCCAGGGCGCCTTGCAACCGACGTCGTAGCACAGGCTTCTTTGAACTCAACATATTTATAACTTACCCTCTGGTAATTTAACGTAGCTATGGAAAATCACCATTTTTAATGGGAATATCCACTATAAATGGCCATTTTCAATAGCTATGTTAAATTACCAGAGGGTATAATTTATAATTAGCAAAAACCGTATAGGGCTTTCCAGCAAAATATGAAAGCCTGCCATACTTCACCAGAATCGAATTGATTTCTTCGACATATAAATGGGAAGCTAAGAGCAGCCTTTCAAATTCGATTCCTTCACTATTGGTCCAGACCAAAAAGTTTCTCCAGTATCGCTCTCTAAGGCGTCCAGTAACCTCCAGCGTAGGTCTGCCAATCGGCAGTGATAGGCGGGCTGCCCTCTCTTCAGCTTTCTGCCCTTCAGTGCCAGTCATAGGCCCTAAAACCATGGCTGAACAGCAATCAAACAACACAGCAGCGAGAAGGCAGCAGGCAGCAGCACCCGACCCCGATGGAAAGTCCAAGAGGAAGGCCAAAATCCAACTGGGTAAAAATCCACAGGATGGGGACGAGGAAAATCCAGGAGGGATGCCGAAGAGGATGGCACAGCAGAGAGTAGGAGGATGAAGCGCCTTCACCTGGGTAACCCAGCGTGCTGTCGAAGTCCAAACAGCTAAATCGACACTGGCGGTTGGCGGTGGACCGGAGACTTGGACGTGGCTGGAAGATGAGGGAGCGGCGGAAGACTGACCTGTCCTTGGGCAGTAAGATTTTTGGGGACGCGAGGAGGATGATTAGTCTTGCCCAGTTTGAAGCCCAGCGCCGGAGTCTTGGTAAAGTAACCAAGTCAAACATCTGATCTCTGGGCCAAATCCATACAAAGGACGGAGGGTCTGATCCCTCGTTGGGTCACCTGCAACATTCAGCTTGGTGGGGCAGAAAGGGTTGATCATGTAGAGGTCAGCAGCAACAAGAAGGGAGTTGATGTGGCGAAGGATAGTGGAGACAGCATGAGAAGCTGATCTTCCCTTTGAAAAAGCTCCTCAAGACACATTGGAGTCGACAAGGGAGAGCTTCTTCCTCGCTTTGTTTTGAACCAACCTTTCCACAGACTTCAACTCCAGGAGGTTTATATGAGTTTTGCTCTTAAAAGCCCAAGCCTTCACAACCTCCCATTCCGCTGTTAACATGACCTCATTCACAAGCTGGTTCTCGTGTGCCTCGTCTTTGGTTCGTTGATTGCCAGCAAAGTGAAACAAATTGTTTCCTGGGCATCCCGAGGCAGTAATAGGTCACGCCTTTTTGCTGCAATTAGTTCTCCGGCTCTAAGCAAGGCTCCCCATCCGAGAGCTAAACATCTTGCCACATCTGCCCAACCCCACATGAGCGCAACCGTTGTCATAGCAAGTAAAACTTGCCCAGGCATTGCAACATGGCGGGAAGATGGTTCTGCTTGAACCCAACTGAAAGCTAAGTCCCAGAGACCCTCTACCTTCACATCTGATGTTGCTGATGCATGCTGCCGCATTTGGAAAACCCCTTGCGCAATGCAATGTGCGACTTCTTGGTAAAAACTCCTTGCACAGGCACGTGGTTGCATGTATCGTTGCACCTCAGGGCTAGTGGTCTCAAATCCACGTTGATTCCCAAAAAACAAAACTTTTCTGGTGAATTGATCCAAATTGGCAGGAGTCTGCCGAATCAACATTGCGCTGGCAAGCTGAAGCAGCATTCCCCACGCTGGGAGATACTTCATCTTGGAGGAGTGGGGCTTCTCAATGATCGCAATGGCTCCATTGGCAACGGCTACGTAGCCAATCTGAAATGACCTGTGGGCCAATATGTTGCCATCCTCTGTCTGTCGGTCACTGGTGTCAAAACCAAAAGGCTGGATCCTGTCACGTAGGGGAGGCCGACGCATGACAGAGAAGGTTGTCCATGGTGGCTCAAGCAAAACTGCTTTCAGGATGCCCTCTGCAATCAGATGAGTGATCCAGGCTGCAAGGTGAAGAAATTTCATGTTGTACTGCTCCGAGGAAGTGATGACACGGCTTGCTCCAGAAAAAAACTCAAGGAACTCCAAAGTGAAAGCCAGAGGCCGGCCTGGTCTGACAGGAGGAAGCTCGAAAACTTCCTCACCTACCTCCTCAAACGCATTCATCTTGGCAAGCAAGGCCTGCACTGGTGTGAGCGACTTCGTGTATGCACCCTTTGAGCGACAGCTGCGGAAAAGGACATGCTGGATCTCCTCATGTATCTCTGCTTGGCAAAAATCCCCTTTTGTCTCTGACGCGTCGGAGGCGTACACAGACCTGTCAAATTTTGCTCCAAGGTTTGAGGGCATGCGTTGACCTCCTCATCCCTAATAAATCTCCATCCCTCAACCTGTCGTACCTCTTCCTCCTGGCATTGTCAAGCGGAAAAGTCTCATAAGCATCCAACCCCTGAAGCCACTCGGGAGGTAGGCCAGGACCAAGGGTATTGCAAATGGTCCTCCCTAGTCACCTTTATCTGATAGTAGTCCTTCCTGTCGGACACTGAAAGGGAGAGGCACTGGCTGGAGGGATCGAAAACAAGATCACAAAGGTCTGAACCTGAAGGGGTGACTGCAGGGCCCTTTGATGACGGCTTCGATTGCATGTCGGCCGCAGCGATCACTGATTTGGCGGTCGGTTGATTCATTTTTGTACGCGTTCAAAACGCGCACCTTCTCAAATTCTTCTCTCCTCTCTGTTTCCTGCTGGTGCAAAAGTATAATATATAGGAGGCCATTGCTGTCCCAAAGGCGGGCAAGCAGATGTATGGTTTCCTGATCATCACGCAAGCGAGCGAATTCCCAGGGCTCTGGTGCTCTGTCAAGCTTCAGAATCATAGCTTCTCTATGGGCCATTAGGATCATTAGGAAGTTCCCTGACAAAAACTCAGACACATCCCACTGGGCCTTTCCGCTGACCTTAAGGCGGGACGGATCAAGGTCTCGGTAAGGCTGCAACTCTG